ATCTTCAATGATGAGAATATTATCAATATAGACAATCAAGTAATGCTTATAGAATATGGTATGATCGAACAAACATATCATTTCTTAAATAATAAGGCAAAAATGTCCAAACCGTGCCCGCAAAGATTGTTTCAAGTCAGAGTGAGCGACGAAAGGGACAAATGAGACAGGACTTTCCCTACGCAACAAAATAAGACGGTTGCTCCATATACAAATTATTTTGAAGCATAGCCATCATAAATAGAAAATGTGAACAAAAATTTCTTGGCAACATGAGAGAAAGTTTCAATATAGTTATCCTCATCCACCTAAGTAAAGCCTTTTGTGACTAGTTGAGCTTTGAGATAATAAACGCGACCATCATGGCCAACTGTGACATGTGCCTTGCCCTAAGAAAATGAAACCAACTCTCAAGTATGGTTTACATGCAAAAAAACATGTCTTCCATCATAGCCTCACACTACCCTGAATAACCTAAAGCCTCACATTAAGAAGGGGGAACTGAAATAGTATCTAAAGCAAACATAATTTACACATGTAAGGAGATAAACGGTGATAAAAAGGTTTAGAATTATAAGCGGACCAAGTACTTAAAAGAACGGCAATAGGTGATTGTCGAGCCATAGGTGGGGATAGGAACGGAACCGGAGCTGAGTCGTCAACAGAAGTAAGCGACGGTGAGTTAAGTGTATATTGACTATGCCATGTATGCAAATTGTAAACCTAAAGTGGAGGATTAAAATGAGAGCCATTGGAACGGAAGCGGGAGGTAGTGAGGATGGAGGCGAAGAAGGTGACACTAAAAGTATGGTAGCGTATCAAAGATGATAAAATCTGAACTAAAATATTGATGGTTGGAAGGGGAATAACAGTGATAACCTTTTCGGACCTAAGAATACTCAAGAAACGAACACATTTGATTGACTGAGTACACAATTTGTCCAAACCAAAAGTATAATCATAAAAAAAATACGTACTACCAAACACACAAAGTGATATAGGGTATAATGACATATTAACCTAAAGACAGGTAATGAGAATGCAATGACCTCGACCAGGAGACAAAAGAAGATTAATAAGAAAGCAGTAAGTATAGCATCAGGTCAACATTGAAAAGGAACATTATGATATAAGAGGAGGGTATGAGCTATTTCTATTAAATGCGGTTCTTGCGTTCAGCCACACTATTTTGTTGGGGAGTGAAACGGAATGACGATTGATGAATAATCCTCTAAAAGAAAATAACATAAATTGTCAAAAGAGTAGCTGAGCTATAAGCTTTGTAAATATGTTAAGAGAATCAATTTGTAATCCCTTAAATTGAGGGAATTAGTTAGCTTGTTTCTTTTTTTCTCCTTGTAATCTTCTATTTTAGGACCGTGTATTATCAATTCAAATTACTGTGGAAATACATCTATTTTCTTTGATCTCTAGTTTCCCATATGGTATCAGAGCTCTAAGAATTTTTTTAGGGTTTCGTAGTTTTTTTCAAGCAGCCTTCATTGATGTGTTTATGTTCCAGCCTTTATTACTGTGAATTTATCTTCTTCACCAAGTCATGTCTGAAACCACCATCTCCAACAATTCCAACCTTTCCGCATAATCCAATTCTGTTCAGAAAATTGGAAAGTTATTGAGGAAAATCCAGCAATAGAGGGGTTCTATAGTGAAGAAGTTGAGAAGGTTTGTTGGGGTCTCTTGAGAAGCCTTATGGAGCATGTTCAATGGTTATTTCAGGTAAACCTGTTTGCATGAATATCTTAGACAAATTCTATACCAACTCTTAGATCATGGACTCCTGTGCTACAGACCATATGACCCTCACATCTCAACTCTTCCACACTTATACCCCATGCCCAAGTAATAGAAAAATTGCCGTGGCCAATGGCTTTTTAGCCACTGGTTCAGGGATTAGAGATATACATATCACACCTAGCCTTATCTTAAAAAACGTTCTCCATGTACCCAAGCTAACAACGAGCCTTGTATCCATTCAAAAGTTGACTCATAACCTCAAATGCTATGCTGTTTTTTGTTTTTCTTATTGTGTTTTTTCAAGACTAGGATCGGGGAGGAGGATTGGACTTGCTAAGAAAATGAACGGTCTTTACCACCTTTAACTATCCAAAAAACTTAATAGGATTTGGATTTTAAAATCTTATGAAATCCATGTTCGGTTAAAAAAAAAAATGATGAAATTTAAAATTATGGATTTTTTTGTAATGGGGGTACCCCTGTTACTTTTGAATCACATTCCTGAAATTTTAAATTTTACTTTTATATCATCTTATAAAAGAAATACTATTATATTTATATAAAATAAAAATTAAATAATTTTAAAAATAATTATTATTTGAATTATATGTTTAATTAAATTTATATTATTTTTTATGGTACAATATTATTTAAAATAAACTAATAAATTCATTGTTTAAATTTATTATTTATTATAAAATTTATTTGAATTAGAAAATTATAGGGATGGCAATGAGTCGGGTTCAGCCGAAATTGAGATTCGTTCCGAATATATATTGTTTGATCTGACACCCAAATTAGATCCGATTATACCGGATCCAATCGAATCTATACCCGGTAAAACCGGATGGATTCGAAAAATCTTTTTTTTTTTACAATTCTTAAATTTTAATTTAAAATTGCACAAGTACCGGACCCAACGTATATTAAAATTTATGTATCTTATTTAAAAAAATAATATAATAAAATAATGAATAAGTTAAACTAAAAAAATTTAATATAATTATATTGTTAGAAATTATTTTTTCATATGTATATATGTATAGTTGATATATTACTAATATTATACTCCGAACATGACCCGGACCCAGACATAATATTTATATAATTGGACTCAACTTCAAATAAATAGGTCGGGTCCAGTCGAGTCTCGAGTTTACGCGAACCTGTTGTTATCCCTATAAAATTACTTATATCTTTTCAATTTGTATTAATAATGAATTAGAGGTTTCATTTATCAAAATAAATAAAATTAATAGGAGGACAATTATGTCATTTAGAATATAAAAAGTTCAAATCCTTCCACTCATATGAAAAAAAACAAGATGTGAGAATTATAAATCCCACATAATTTTACCAACCAAATATAGAATAGGATTTCAAATACTAAATATAATAAATCTCATCACATATATCCTACTGTGAAATTCCAATCCTAATCCCACAAAAAAAGTCCATGAACTAAACAACCTCTAAGAGTAATTTGTCAGCTCCTAAGAGTAATTTGTCTTTTTCTTTCCTTAGTTTCTCGAATAAAGATATCATTTCGCCATATCACCTTCGTCTAGGTCATCCCTCTTTTAGGGTTTTAAAAATAATGTTTCCTCGTTTGTTCCAAGGATTAGCCAATGTTCTAACAAAGGGGCTGAACAGTTTGAGTTTTCATGATATTGTATCCAAGCTGGGAATGGAAGACATCTATTCCTCAGCTTGAGGGGGGTGTCAAAGAGTAGGTGAGCTGTAAGCTTTGTAAATATATTAGGAAAATCAATTTGTAATCCCTTAAATTGAGGGATTAATTGATCCCTTAATTGAGGGAATTAGTTTGTTTCTCTTTTTTTCTCCTTGTAATCTTCTATTTTAAGACCGTGTATTATCAATTCAAATTATTGTGGAAATAAATAATCTTTTTTCTCTCATCTCTAATTTTCCATATTAATAAAAGAGTGAAAAATATTTCTGACCATTATTACTCCATAAAACCTTGAATTATAAAATTCTATATGGATTCTAGTACAAATTCCTTAGAAATAGTAAGTAGTTCTGTTTGATTTTTCATTAAATAAACCCTGACTACACCGATAAAAATCATCAAAAAAATAACAAAATATCAAAAAACAGTTGTAGATAAACTACGACAAGCACCCAATATATATGAATGGGCTAATGCAAAGGTCTCGAATTCTTAAGTATTGACGTGCTTAGAGGAAAAGTACTAGACTGCTTCCCAAGCACACATGGCTCACATGGTACCGAAGACAATGACAAAGACTAGAAATAAGATGTCTTAGGAAACTTGATAGAAGCAGTGGTAAGGGTGGAGGAAGGATGAAAAGGCTTATTGAGGTAATATAGTCCATGAGACTTACGTGTCTGATACCAATTATATGCCTTGTACTATGATCTTGAATAGCAAATAGATCATTAGTCATTAAGATGAAACAATTTAAATATCTAATAAGTTGAACGACAACCATTAGGTTAAACAGATTGTGTTGAAACATAGAGTACAAACCCAAGGGGCAAACTAGATGACAGACAAGCACTATTTACAGTTTAAGGATATGTTTTTCACCAGTGGCAAGGGTAATATAGGTCAATGAGCTCGACGGATAAAATGTGGAAAATAATGAACCCTTTAACCCAATATGGACTGGACTGAGAAAAACTGATAAGGAGATCAAAAGAGATGGCGAAATTAGTAGAGGATGACTGCTGAAATGCCTAGAACTAAAGGAACATATCATAATCAGCCTGGCTTATGGTAATTGAGCTAGATGGCAAACACCCCATCAAATCAACCATACTAGGAGTAGCTTCCCTTGCCTACTCACACTAATTAAAAAAAATAAAAAAAATTGCAAGCTTGAGCATGACTAGCTTCCGTTGTTGTGTTCCGTTAGTGTCTTAGATCATTTACTTGAAAGTGAGCCATGGTTTTGGTATACATTTCTTCTTGGATATTTTTCTATTTTAGATAGTTTTAACACTTAGATGATTTCACCTTTCTTAAAATCTTTTAGCTTTGACTATAAGATACAAATGTTCCTTATATGATTGATGTTTATTCAATGGAAAAGGATTTTTTATTTTATTTTATATTTTTATTTATGCATTCTCATTAGAACTTTGTTTTAAGGCTTTCTATTTCTGTTGCATAATGTTCACGTTTTACAATTTACAAATAGTTTAAATTAAACAAATGCATGACACCATAGTTTTATTTTTCTTTGTTCTTTTTATAGACCTTAAAGACCAGGCTTCTCAGGTGATTGAAAAGTTCTTGAATGCAACAGATGCAGAGGGAAACAAGTATCGTAATGATCTGTTGGGAGTGGCATCTAAGACTTTGATCAAGGTTAGCCATCTTTAACAAAAGTATATTGCATTTTAGATGTAAAGATCATAATTGTGGAATTGGAAGAGAATGAAAAAAAGTGAATTGTGTTCCACTTGAATTGCTGTTTTACAATACAAGTAATTGAGTATATAAAGCCAGTCTGTGGTTGTTCTCTCTTTTACTTTTTTCTTCTTCAATCCTTTTTAGTAAGGCCTCTTCCCCGAATCCACCTCCACCAATCATACTACTTTCTCTTCTTCAACTTTGGATACTTCACACTCCTCAATGCAAAGTACTTTACATTGCTTGAATAGAAGAAATTTTCTTTAAGTTCTCTCAATCCGTCGAATTAGCTATCGACGGTCATGGAAAGATAGAATATTTAACTGTTGAGATTCTTGAGCCAAACACCATTGATCCTTCTTAATATGTTTTGGTGATCGCAAAATTCCTTCGTCACTGTTTGGCTTCTCAATTCCATCGTGGTCTCCATTTCTAACCCACACTTGTTCATGAAGTTTGCTAGAGAAGTATGATAGTTTATTTGGGCACTTATTCTGATCTTGAGAACTCTTCTCGGATCTTTGGTGAAGACTCGATAGTGGGAATCCAAACAAGTCATCCATGATGTTACAATATACTATAATGAGATGGTCTCCTTGTGGCAAGAACTGGACCGTTGCTACGATGAGAATTGGGAGAGTCCATCAGATTGTGATAGGTAGAAGAAGCGATAGGAGAATGACTATGTGGTTATGTTTCTTGCATGGATTCATCATTATCTTGATGAAGTTAAGGGCTAATTCTTGGTCGGGGAAGATGATTGGACATGTTGGGGGTGATGGTCTTTATTTTTTTGTTGGTGGATTTTTTAAGAATAAAACTACTCAAGAGGATTTCTTTCCTAACTACTATTTTTTCTTTGAATTTTGATGATATTTATTTGTGGCACTATAGATTGGGCAAGTTTCTTTTTATCTTAAAATATTATTTCCAAGTTTGTTTGTGTAATTGATGTGTATTTCTTATCATTAAAAGATAAAACTATACACTTAATATACAATTTCTTACACTAATATGGGCTTGGCCCACACTCTATAACAGTTAATCTAATTTGGGCTTATGCCTACAATCTATATCAAATACTAACTAATATATATAAATACATATACATTATATATATCTAGCAGTTTGGGAATAAAAGTCCATCGTATGTTCAATGTAATATTTGTGTGTAAGCTAAAATGCATAAAAGTACTTATCATCCTATACCAGATAAGCCCTCAAACCTTTTGCTTTAATCCACTGTGATTTTCTGGTTCGTTTAAGTAACTAATTGCAATGGATATAGATGGTTTATTCCATTTACTGAGGATCATACCAAAATTGGTTGGACTTGTTTACTTAACGAAAAAGGTGAAGTTGCAAAGGTATTAACAAAAGTTTGTAACATAATCCTAACTCAATTTGATGTTAAATTTAAGTTCTTCAAAGTGACAATAGAAGGGTATATTTTACTCGGATTTTGGGTAAGTTTTTTGGAGAATGGAACTATTCAACAAAGTTTTTATAATGACACACCTCCTCAAAATGGGATTGCTGAAAGACAAAAATCGTTATGTCCTTGGTAGGGCTCTAATGTTTTCTACTAATGTTCCAAATATTTTTTGAGGAGATAAAATTTAATGAATTGAATGCCTTTCTAATCTACTAAAATTTTACATTCCATTTTTTTAATGAATTGAATGCCTTTCTAATCTACTAAAATTTTACATTCCATTTTTTTAATGAATTGAATGCCTTTCTCATCTACTAAAATTTAAAACCCCAATTTATGCTTTAGAATCTTGAGTTTTTATTTGAGTTTTGATTTAAATAGTATTTTGATGTGATATTTTTTTTTAGAAGAAATAGTTTATTTTTATTGGGAACCATGTGGTCTAAATATGAGAGTTTTATTTATTTATTTTTTTTAAAATAAAAAGCAAACACACCCTTTGTTTTCCTAAATTTAGAATATTTTATTTTATGTCTTTAAAATTGTTTGGTTGTACAGTTTTCTTAAGAAGCCCAAAAACACATCAGGAATTTAGATCCAAAAGCTATAAAATGTGTGTTTGTTGAGGTTGCTTCAAATAAAAAAGAGTTTAAATGTTTTCACCAACGTACAAACAAAACATTTGTTTCAATGAATGCTAAGTTCTTTGAAAAGGTTCCTTTTTTAGTTCTCATCTTCGGTAGAAAATAAATTAGAAGACGCAAAATTTTCTACTCAAATTGATTCCTGAATTTTTAATTCCTGAAATTAAGGCATTAAAGTTGTCACAAAGATATCATCACTCCATCGAGGAGATAATGTTTAGGAAACTAATTGGTTTGGGAAATCCAACATCTAAAGGAAAAATTTATCACATCAGTAGACACTTCCATCTCTGAACCAAGACCGCAACCTCTCTCTAGTGAGTCATCTAATCTAAATCTTTCAATCACATTAGAAAGGCGAGGCGCTCTGGTGTTTAATATCCCATGTCTAATTATAATTTCACTTCAAAACTCTCATTACAATAATGTACCTTTACTACAAATATCTTTTCTATACAAATTCCTAACAATATCTAGGATGCTCTTGAAAGTCCAAAGTGGAGAAAAATGTTTTTGGAAGAAATGAGTGCTCTAGAAAAAAATCAGCCATGGAAAGTTGAAGAGCTCCCAAAGGGAACACTTCTACAGTTTGTTGTAACTGAGTATTTACTCCAAATATAACAGTGATGGATCTCTTGAATGATACAAGGCTCGATTGGTGGCTAAGGGATTTACTGGACTTATGGTATTGACTATATAGAAACCTTTGCGTCTGTTACCAAACTAAATACAATTTGAATTTTACTTTTAGTGGCAGCTAACTTGGATTGTCCACATCAGTTGGTATTACATACTCCAATGATCCGACTTCTCAATCACCTTTTCCAGGCTCCATCACTAAAATCATATTTGAAATTGGCTAGCTCTCTATTGAATTACCGGTGCGGCCTCCTATGGAAGCTCAAATTCAAAATAAATAGGCTCCGGAATTTAATTTTAAGGAATCCAAATATTTTCTTCCATCACATTCCAAGAAGTGGAAATAATCTGGCTGATTTCGTAGCAAAACGTAAAGATTCGATTGGAGTGGATCTCATATCTTGGTTCTAAGAATTCCTCATTTTGTGCCTTCCTCTAAGCACTTGGCAACTGTTAGATTAGCCCTTTTTTTTGTAAGTTAGAGTTAGTGATTGTTTCTGTGTTCCTGTTCATCCTGATCTAACCCACATTCCAGATTCCATATAATGATAAATCTGCTTTCCAGAAAAAAAAAAAAAAAAAAAGAACTCTAGAAAAGTTTCAATTTACAGTTAGATTTTGAACCTGGTGATGCCAATAAGTTGCAAGTAATATTCAATATTCATACAAATATATTATAGGTACATTCGTAGATCGATACTGAATGTATTCACTGAGGTCACTGTGAAAAAGGACAAAAATATGCTCTCTTTTAAGTTGAAATGTATATAATTGCTTCACTTTCTCTGTAAAAGGGATAAAAACATACATTGGCCATCATTTTTCATCCTACCATAGATTGTAAAATCTTCCAAATTTTGGAATTATGGGAATTCTGGATTTGGTTCACCAATCTGCAGAATTTATTAAAGAAAAAAGATAACAAGAAGTTATTATGCATTAATTCTGATTGATTCTTTGTGGTTAGCTTTTCCAACGCACAGGAGATCTTGGTTATTTGATTGAGTCAACTATGCTGCTGGAGTTCGGTTTGCTTATCCGAGGGTGAGGAAGTTGGTTAATGAAGTTTCTTTTATGATTTCAAATTATTTGATTATACATTATTTTAAGTATATTATTGAAATGGGAAGTTACTTTCTTTTCAGAATGTAATACTAAAACCTCTGTGAAATTTGTCCAAACAGTTCGGATTTGATTTGTCAAAATGTCAAAACTATATCGAACCTTCTAAGTCGTCACAGCTTCTATTTCAGTTTGGCTGGTTCGTTTTAAAAATTTCGCTCAAATTGTTGATTTTCAGTTCGAACTCTCGATTTTTGTTTCTTTTTTGTTTTTATTTTGGTTTCAACTGTTTATGGTTCGAACTATCAGTTTCCGTTTAGTTTCTTTTTTTTTCGGTTTATTTTTTCAATTTTGGTCATGACAGATATAGTTTAGCGATCGATTTGATTTTCATTATGTTTCAAGTCGCTTGTTTATTGCTTGTTTCATGTAGCTTGTTTATTTTTCTTTGTGGTTAGTTTTTTTATTACTTGTTTCATTAGGGTGTTAACAATGTATATCTTCATGACTTCGGAGTGCATACTGTAGTATTAAAAGTACTGGACAAAAAGCTTGACTTAGTATTATTAGAATATGTTACAAACAATTAGGGTGTGCTTGCTTTGTGTTTTGCTATTTTTTATGTGAGGTATGAGGAATTGTGTAGATAACATAAAAATAAAAAGTGCGTAATATATTAATTTTTTTTTTTTGGAAATGTGTTGAAAAATTTTGTTAAAAGAACATAGCCTTAGTCTTTCGAGTTCGTTCTCTCCATGAAAAATTTGGAGTGGACGATATGGTTTTTCCTTGCTACAACATAGGGTAGGCTAGTTTAGTTCATTATCTAAACCTGCTAAGATTTTATGTTTTTGAATTTTCAGTTCCTTTTTCAAAGATATTTCATTGGTAATGTTTCACAGGAATGTGGACATGTATAAGTTTGTATTGATGCGGGTATACTCCTGTTGGAACTCTCTTCCATTAGCTTTCGAGTGGTAAATAATAAATTCTCATTGCAATATCATGTTTCTTATTTTCTTATTTTTCACTGTATTGCTTTGAATCTGTCTCCCATGCAGCTATAAATACGTGGACATGAAAAAAGCATTTCTGAGCTCAATAAGTCAGTATATTGTATCACAGATTATAATAGCTGTTTTGTGGCCCGAAATGGATGATTTCATTGGGGCCTTCATGAAATTTATGGATGATGAGCTTAAAGAATCTGCAGACCGAACATTCCTTGCATATTACAGCAGGAACTATTCCCATGTAAGGTGTTTCATAGTTGGTTTGTATGCATTAAGGTTTTTGGTCTTATTCTTTTGGTTGTCAAACTATCTTGAATATGAAAGTGCTTTGGAGCAGTTAGCAAAACTTGCACTATCCTCTTCTTTCAGTGGTCAAAGGGAACTCAAGTTCATAATATTTTTCTTAATATCCCCTCCGTCCTCCCGCCTTCCCCAGTGGGTTAGGCAGGGTTAATTTCAAAGAGAATCTCAGCACATTGTCTTAGTAGAAATGTTTCTTTAATAGTGTGCAAAATATTTGATCATGCCCTTACACTTGTTAGATATTAATTGTAGATTTTAGTTGTGTTTGTCTGTCTCCAGCCTCTTTGTTTCTTCTTCCTCATTTCTTATGTTTCTCAGTCCTTCCATCTCTCTTTTGTTTCTCTTTGATTCTATTTCGTTTGTTTCTTCTTCCTCATTTATTCTCTTTGTTTCTATTTCTTTTGTTTCTTGTTCCAGCTGTTTTGATTGTGTATATATTCATTGTGTTACAAATATTCAATTCAAGTAATAAAATTAACTTCCTTCTATTTTTTTCTTCCAATTTCTACAAGGTATCAAAGCAGAACATCTCTGCTCAACCCATATGACTATGTTATTGCCTATTTGATCACAGCCTTTGATTCAAGGAACTCTGTCCACTTCTTTATCATCATGAGCCTAAATTTATGATTTTTTAATGGGAGTTCCAACTGCTTTGTAAGCTGTCATACAAGTTTTCCTGAGCAGATCCATAACATACTTTTGTTAAAAAAAGAAACTTAAAAAAAAAAAAATCCTTGCCTTGAATGAGCCACTTCAATTCCAAGGAAATACCTCAATTACTAAATTTTTTATTACAAATTCCTTGGCTAGACACCGCTTCAAGGTATCCTTCTCAACTGCATCACTTCCTGTCACTATAATTTCATCCATATATACAATCAAAACCGAAACTCCATGAGGCTGAATGCTTTATGAAAAGAGTATGATCTCTTTGGCATTTCTTGTAATCATTAGCTATCATTACCTTGGCAAATTGTCCAAACCAAGCACACGGTGATTGTTTCCGCCCATATAATGTTTTTTTTAACAAGCAAACCTTGTTCTTGTCAACCCCATAAATCTCTTCTTCTAGTTCTCAAAGAAAGACAATTTTCAAATCATATTGCTGCAATTCCCAATCAAATTCTCAGTGTTGTGAATGAAGCAAATGTTCTCAATAATCAACTCCATATGTTTGTGTGTATCCTTTTGCAACTAACCTTGCCTTGTAACATTTTAGGGATCCATCTGCCTTAAACTTCACGGTATACACCCACTTACATCCCATTACCATCAAATTCCCTGGTACCATTCTTTTCTAATGCATCCATTTCTACTTCCATAGCAAGTCTTCATTTTTTCCTTTGATAATACTTCAGACAATGAGTTAGGAATAGAGATTGTGTTTAAGGTATAAAGGAAGCTTTGATGGCTTGGAGAAAACTTTTGAAATGACACAAAGTGAGACAATGGACATAGGAACTTTTTGTGCATTATTGAGTTTTCTTCCATACAACAATAGGTGAAATAGAGCTTGTTTTCAAGAAATGTACCATCAGCTTATACATAAGAGTTTTTTTAGTAGGCAGATAATAACATTTGTAACCCTTTTGAGTAGATGAGTATCCCACAAAGACACACTTAAGAGCACGAGGATTTGACATCCTATGGTTATAGTTATGAATATGAACAAAAGAAGTACATCCAAAATCCGATGAGTGAGATTAAAAGGATAGCGGATATCAGGGTGTAGTTTAGATAGACTCTAGTGGACTTTGAGATCCTAAGATCCTAGAAGGAATTCTCTTTATGACATATGTTGATGCAAGGACAGCTTTTCCCCAATATACTTTTGGCACATTTTGTTCAAACAAGAAAGCTCGAGTGCACTCAAGAAAGTGTTTGTTTTTCCTTTTTCCGGTGATACAAGATGATTATGATTCATCCTTTTTGAAAAAAAAATTTCCTTCTAGTGTGATTGAGTAATCACGAGCATTATATAACAAAAGTGTGTTATTTTTTTGCGAAATTGATTTTGAATCATTGCATGAAAACTTGGGAAAATAGACTTGTTTTTTTAAATAAATCCGAGAGACTCTTTTTCAATCATCAATAAATATGACAAACCACCTAGACCCTAAGACTCTTTTATTACTGATAGGAAATGAAGCACGAGTGATTTTAGCATACTAAAAAAATGTCACCATGAAAATACTTGTGAGATGAAGTAAATGACCGTCTCATCTAAAAGCTTAAACTTATTTATATTTTACGGGAGTCAACCAACACGCCCCTTCACGTGCAGGGGATATACGCCACCATATGAAACTTGCATATGGACAACAACGAATAGTGAAATAGACTCAATAATGCAGAATATCACTTAGGTGTTATTTGACCTACCCAAAGGTTGTAAACCATTAGGGTAATGGATCTTGAAAAAGAAACTCAAAGCTGATGGGTCTATTGATAAATACAAAACCCGTTTCGTAATAAAAGACTACAAACAAACCGAAGGGTTTGACTTCTTCGACACATATTCACCAATAACCAGGATAACATCCATTTGAGTGCTTTTCTTGATTGCGGCTTTGAACAATCTTGAGATTTACCAAATGGATGTGAAGACTGTTATTCTAAATAGTGAATTAGAAGAAGAGGTATATATATTGAACAACCAGAAGATATGTCGGTTCTGGCCAAGAGAAAAATGGTGCACAAACTAACAAAGTCTTTGTACAGACTGAAACAGACACCTTTACAATGGCACTTAAGATTTGTCATGTCATATTATCAAATGGTTTTAAAATAAACGAGTGTGACAACTGTGTCTACGTCAAAGAAACACCTTCCGGTTTTATCATAATTTATCTATATGTAGACGACATACTAATCATGGCTAAAGAGGACAGTCTGATCAATGAGGTCAAATGCATGTTAAGTCATAACTTCGACATGAAAGATTTGGGATTAGCTGACGTCATTCTTGAAATGAAGATTCTAAGACAAGCCGAAGGTATTGTTCTGACTTAGTCCCATAATGTGGAAAAGATACTGAGAATATTAAACGCCTACGATAACACTCTAGTGAAAATCCCAATGGACCTTATCATACACTTGCAAGAATAGGAGAGATCCCGTAGCTCAAGAAGAGTACGCCAAAATTATTGGTAGCCTAATATACTTAACAAACTATACTAGGCCTGACCTAGCTTGCCCTGTAAACAAGCTGAGTTGATACACTAGCAACCTCAGTCATGAACATTGGAAAGCGCTAGTAAAGAGTTTTAAGTTATTTTAAGTTTACTCTGAATTTTGGCATACACTAGGCAAAATATCCACCGGTACTAGAAGAGTACTGCGATGCCAATTGGATATCCGATGCTAAAGACTCACCATCTACAAGTTGATATGTATTTACATTTGGAGGAGGAGCTCTTTTGTGGAAATCCACAAAATAGACGTGCATTGCACGGTCCACAATGGAATCGGAGTTAATCGCCTTGGACAAAGTTGGCGAGGAAGCCGAATGGCTGAGGAACTTCATGGATGATATGCCATATTGGACTAAACTAATACCTCCCATGATGATTCATCGCGATAGCCAAGCTGCAATAGCAAAGGCTAAGAATGAAATTTACAATGGTAAATCCTGACATATCCAAAGTAGACATAACTCTGTAAGACATTTGATCACTAGTGAGGTTTTGACTATTGAATAGTAAAGTCAATAGAGACAAATGTATAAACTGTTAAAGAAAATGGGTTTGAAATCCATAAGATAGAGACAATTACAGTGGTAGCCCAACTAAAGCACTTGGAAATCTCAAGGTTTGATTCAATGGGAAAACTAAGTTGTTTAATGTATGCCAAACATTCAAAAGAACTGCCCTTGAAACACGTATCAAATCTTGCCACCAGAGCTTGCGAAATTTTTTCCCATCTCAGCCTCGGTTTACGAGAGCGTAACGAGGTTGACTAGTACAATGCAGCTTCTTTTATGGCCACCACGGCTGCAAGCATTTTCATCTCCGGATTGGTGTTATGAATTTCAAATTGTTGATATGTGCGAGCCAATATCGTATCGGATCTGAACCATTGAAGGATGGAAGTTGCACAGGGCCTGTTTGCAATCGGGAGTTAATCGTCGGCTGTAGTGGCACACGGTTGGGGGCGGCAGTGTTGTTGGTGTGGCGGGTCTGCCGAGGGCAGCGGTGTGCCACCCTCTGCCATCGTCTTCCGCCCTAGTTCCTCTTTAAATACTATTACCTAAACCCTACTTACTATATATAAAATAAGTCAACCCAATAACTAAAAGACAAGTCTAACTCAAAATATAATATACTCCCTTCGTCCCAATACAATAGTCTTGTTTACCATTTTTGTTCGTCCCAAAACAATAGTCCAATTTTCATAAATAATCATATCACTATAAACTACCCTTACTTTTTCATTATTATTACACAATTGCCACTACTTTTTACACTAATACACTCACAAGGGCAAAAAAGTCTTTAAACCATACTTTTTACCCACTACCAATATAATATCAATATTCCTTAAATCTCGTGCATAACACAACCCATACTATAGTTCTAAGACGGAGGGAGTATTAATAAAAAAACAAGTAAATAAAATTTAAACTCGCGAACAGCAGGCCTAAGCCTATCTCCGTCGTCAATACACAAGCATTTGCGAAAGACTCCACTTTCTCTTTAATCATAATTTCATGCTCTTTCCGATTTTACTTTCTATCATCCTTTTAGTCCAAGTAAGAGAGGTCGCTCATTGATTACTTTGAAAAGAGGAAATGCACATACGAGGAGCTGAATACTCTTCTCTATCTCATAAGAGGAAACTGCAGATGTTCAACAAATGGAAAGGCAATGAGAACTATTTACAATGACCTATATTCTAAAATTTGAATTTGAACCTGTCAGGACTCAAACTCATGGTATTGCAAACCTAAAGTATATTCTTAGTCGTGTCCCTTCATTTTGAAAGTATCCGTAGCTGTATCTCTTTTCAATAGGTCTGGTTTCATCATGTATGCTACCTCTCAAACTATATGGGTTCATGGATGTGAGCCTAATCGATGAAGTAGTCCTTGTAATACAACCTCGTCGTACCCATAAAGAAGGTTTTCTGGGATAAATATCCACACCTTTGGGCGGCTCACATCACAACTTTTGGCTCAACAACCACATTATCCTGTCTCTCTCTATAGGATACACTAAGGGTGAATTTGGAATTGCAAAGAAACAAAACTAAAATGGAGTTCAGTAAAGCGGATAATGCAATAAAAAAATATAAAATAATTAATTGTCATTTTCTCGAACAAAAATATTTATACAAAAGGATGCACGAATTGATAATTTATAATTATGATGAAATAATAATAAAAAATGTCATTAAAACTCTACCATCAAATTCTAGAATTCTCAAATTGTGACAGATGATATAATGAAAACTTGGAGATAAAAAGAATCGGGTATTTTTGGTGCGGAATGATAATTGATGGGAGTGTTTTTTACTTTTATATTTGTTTATATTCTCACAATTCCAAATCTCTATATTTCTTCACATGCAAGAGAAAATTCAAAGCAAAGAATATGAAATATTTTATTTTTCAATTTTGAATTTTTTAGGTTAAAACAAAGAAGGGAAATATGTTCATTTCTATTTTTATACTCTCAAATCCATGTAACAAGCACAACCTAAGTTCTTAGAATTTCAAGCTGTCCAAACTACAACTTCCTCTACAAAGTTGATAACCTATCAAGGTAACACAATAAATTGTCACATTTCTACTTCTTTTAAGTCAACCGTGAATATTATATTTTAGGGGCTAAAATCATGTTTCAGGTAAGAAGGAAATATTTACTTTGCACCATTTTCATGATAATTACCTTGCAATTGTTGCGTGATCCTCCACTTCTATCTAAGGAGCTGGTTATTGTCATGTTTTGTCTTCTCTCATACTTCCATCGTCCCAAATCTTCCTTTCAATCTCATATTTTTGAGTAAACTAACTTGCTAACTAATTTGCTATGTCTTGTTTCTCTAATCAAGTTATTGTCTGGGATTTGATTACCCAGAAGATGATTGGAGGACATTAGTTAAATAAATATCTTACTTTGATAATGCCTAATCCTCTTAATGTGCACTTTTCTTTGCCTCTCTGCTTGTTGAGCATAGTCCTTTTGGTCATCCTCACCGTTTAATAACTTTATGATAGTGTTACCTCATTTAAAGTTAGTCTCCATTTTGAATTGTGAAGTCAACTTGGAAAACATCTTTTATTTTTCTTTAATAATTCATTTAAAAAAAAAAAAAACCTTCCAAACCATTTATGCTTGGTCACCCCAACATCTAGGGACCTAACAAGTCAAGTCTAAACTAAGATTTCAATATTTTGATCTTTTTGTTGATGATTCTCCCGGATGAACTATTTAGTCACTCTAACTTATAGTCCATTATCTATTTTTTGCCGTTTGTTTCTGACTCCACCACTTAAGTCTGAGACCTTTTTCTAGATGTGAAAATGACTTTTATTCATGTGTTTATTGCTTTGACAGCCATACACAGTTGGTCTTTCCGTTATGCTTTTTTCCATGGTGACTTTTACGAGACCATTTATGTGTAGCAACACCAGGGTTTGTATGATACCCCGGATTTGGTTTGAGTTTGTAGATCAATTCAATTAATGTCAACAACATTCACATTCTTTTCAGAAGCCCACATAAAAGAACTCTAGAGTTAGCATGCTTGCTTTTTCAAGATAGGTGACCTCCTGGGAAGTACACGAGCATATATCATATATTCCGGTGATATTGTGATCATTGGTAATGATATTGGTGGAATACAATTAAAGAAATCATTTCTTCATACCAAATTTCGAACCAAGGATCTTGGACAACTTCGTTACTTTTTTGGTACTGATATTGCTTGTTTCAACATGGAGCCATATGATTGACGGTCCACTTTAGGATACAAATTTTTTTAGGTCAAAACCTTATATCTTGGAAAAGTAAGAAACAAATTGTGGTTACCCATTCTAGCCTAAAATCTATATACCTGGCGCAATGAAATGTGCAACATGTGAATTAATTTGGTGGAAAATTCTTCTTACTGAAATTGGTTTTTAACATTTGTCTTCCATGTGTGACAAATGACCTGGTCTTTTTTTTAATTCTTATGCCCTTGTCTCAGGTCTAGGCTTGTATTGCAAGTGAATTTGAAAAGGTTTACTCTGTTTTGTTTAGGCGCTTAGATTTGTCCAAAATAGTGATAAACTGCTGCATTCCGTTCTGTACTCCATGCTGAGGATTGAAGTGCCTATTTTACAGCTGAAGAAGAATTCCAATAATATTGAAGTCTTGAAGGTAAGAATTCTGGACTTATATTTCCCCTTTTCATTCAATGTTAAATTTTTAATTTTCTTTTTTTTTTTTTGGATTTATTTATTTATTTTGTTAATTTATTTATTAGGAGAAGTTAGAGATTACAGAATGGGGCGTTGCCTGTCTTGGGGTAGCAACTGGGATCATAAGCAAACCTATGGCCACTTCACAGGACTTGAAGCGGCATCCTTGCTGGACACCAACTAATAGTAAAAAAATCATGTTGGGTCTGTTTCCACTGTTTCTAGTTGCATCTCCTCAAAACCTTGTCAGCATATGTCTGTGACATTACATTATTTAATTAGTAATAACTGTGTTGTTTCTCCACTCGCACACTACCTTGTAAAAATGGTCTGTCTTCTCTCTTTTTCCTTTTTTTTTTTTTTGTTAACAGTTACATCTGTTGATTAATTTTTGTTGTCTCCAGGTCTATTTGAAGGGGCATCACATTTTCCACGAGAAAGCAGGGTGGGTATGAGAAAAATCCAATCATCTTATAGAATCTTAGGTCTTGTCTGAGTTTAAGGAAAACAGATAGAACTAATGACAATCCCCATGGATTCAAACAGAAATACTATGATATAATATTTTTCATTGTATAGGCTGATATGTTTCTATGTTTTTAAGAGTGATGATTCAATTAGATTGAGTACATACCATCTTTAATTTATGGTCTATCCCCAATCCTTGGACTAGGTCAATTGGGCTAGTTCATGGTAATACTTAAATCCTTTGAAGCTGTAGTGTTGTGGAAACAATTGGGAAAGAGACCAGGTGAGGACGCGTGTCAAAGATCCCTACTTATATGAAGGACTATGTGGCAAAATAAGAAAATTAGTGCGTATGGTTTCTGTTGGAATTAGGAGAGAGAAATAATGTGCGAAGTGGTTATTTGTAGAGACATTCAAGTTTTTGGGGGATATGAACAAACAAATTACTTTCTGAAAATTTTCTTTTTTCTTGCTAACCTCCGTTCTCAACATGTAGCAATTGTCTTTTTGGTCTCTTCTGGCAGAAATCAGGTTTCATTACTAGTTTATTGTACTCCCTCTTTGATAAGTTCATCTTGTTGGACCTGTCTTTCTATTCTTTGCACTAAATGGATTTTATGAAATTGAGTTCCCACTTTATTTCAGCACTAAATTTTGGACAATTCCAAGTTTCTTTTTACGCAACCCATCTTGCTTTGCTTTTCACATCTTTTGGGCACATTATATGGCATGATACACTATTGTTTTACTAACATTGAAATCTTCAGTAAACTGGAAAGGTAAAATGACATATTTAGATGGTTTGAATTCTGTTTAGTAAATTGTCAATTTTTTGAATGGTCTTGTACTTGTTTTGTTTACCTAACCTCTCTCTCTCATTTATTTTTATTTTCTGTTTTACTTTTTCTTCTCTTCAGTTGTACTTCCTCTTTATTACCTCTTCTGCTATTAATCTCCACAACTACATAGGTTTTTAATGTATCAGGCCTATTTTTTCAGGATAATTGTGATTCAGAATTAGAAGCACATTTTCATAAGACCTTGCTCCTGCGATCCCTTATTCCACGGTTGCTTTATTTGTCATTGCGTTCTGCTTCAGAGTCAATAGAAGATATTATTGAAGTTGATGAATTAGTTCTTAATTCGAATCTCTCCACAGAGCTCAAAACTCTGCTGGAACGCTTTGCTCGAACCTTGGAATTTCCTTTCTTGAATGCCGTTGAACTGATTCTTGGAGTTTCCATAAGTCAGAAATCTTTTGAGGTATGATCTAATACGTCTGTATAATTGTTTTCCTTTAATTCAGTATTTTCCTGGTACACAAGGAATATAGATTTCTATGATGTGTTTCCATGGCCACAAAAATGTGTAATGGGGCTTATCAATTTTGGTTTTGTTTTGGATGTGAATGTTCTGAAACTTTTGAGATTGAGATCCTTAATATTTTAGATCTTTGTAATATTACTAGGGTGTGTTTGTTTGGGGGTTTGGATTTTGGATTGGGATTTGAATAGTAAAAACTTTGAATTTGAATAGTTGTATGATGTGATATAAATAGGTGTTGATGTGATGTTTTGAATGTAAAATTGATTTTTAGTATAATATAAAAAATGAAAAATAGGTGTTTGATTTGATGTTTTTGGGGGGAAAATTTTGGATGAATAGTAGGATTTTGACAAAATCCTACAAACGAACACACCCCTACTTGATTGAGCTCGAAATAGAGTCCCGTTAACTTTCATTGGGTCCTGCAAATTGGCAGAATAGATATACTTATATAGTAAATGTTGATTTTCTTTGTGTGTTGGGACTCCCGTTTGCGGATATATGAATAACGTCTGAGTTTCTCTAATAGTTCGAGCTTTTAGGTAAGACGGTCATTCAGCATCCGACATAGTATCAGAGTTTGGTTAGGTCTCAAGTTTGAGTCCCACCGTCCCCATTTGTGCGCATATGCATGTACAAGTTTCGCATACCTCCACTTGCACCTGAGAAGGCGTGTTGGGACTCCCGTTTGCGGATATATGAATAATGGCTGAGTTTCCCTACGGTGTAGTTAGCAATTGTGATTTTTTAGTTTATGTTTAACAGTTAAAATGTATGTGTATGTTGTAAATTTGTTTTGAACTAAAAGATAGGTAGATGTAGTTATTAATTATTTAATAGTAAAGATTTGTTTAGTATTTTGATGGTGTTTAGTTGTATTAAATTTGTTTAGAAATAGTAAAAAATTGAATGAAAAATAAGTATTGGATTTGATATATTGAATATAAATTAAGTTTTTAATATAATATTTTAAATAAAAATTTTGTATATGTGAAATGTTTTTTTGTTGGAAATTTTTTGATAAATAATCAAAAATAAAGTTGAATACATAAATAAATAGAGCCTAAATATCTGTGTATGTATGCAAGAGACACACAAAACAAAACTTATTGCTATAGCATTGTCTGCTGTTGTTGAAAGCGCATAAACAGTTCAAAATATGTAGCATAGTTGAAAGAAAGTATTGTAGAATCTAACTATCTAAATCCTGCATGATTTTATTTTGGTCCCGCACTACGTTGCTCATGGATTTTACCATCTCCTACTTTTTGTGCTGCTTATACATTAATTGGACATGCTTATTGGTAGTTGACTCTCGTATGTAGATAAATAAATATATGATACGTATTTTTTCAAGTTTAAGCTTTTAAGTGAGACAGTCATTAACATCATCGAATATAATATTAGAGCCATAGATCTCGAATTCGAGTTCTACCGTCTTCATTTGTCGTCGTCCACATGCAAATGTCGTATGGTGGCATATATCCCTCTTGTACGTGAGGGGATGTGTTGGTTGACTCATGCATATAGATAAATAAGTACATGATACGTATCCCTTCAAGTTTAAACTTATAAGTGGTCATTAACATCATCTAACGCTTATGAATTTGTCTTAAAACATTATTACACCTTTTTTTCTTACGCAAAATTATCCATATTCACCTTGATACAAAGTTCACATCTAACTGATTGAAGTAATTTTATAATGCTCTGATCTGGACGTATCTTTTGTCAGACTTATGGCCGCTCATCAAGCTTATAATGCAAGTTTCTTTGAGATTGCTCTTCTATAGATATTGTTTGATTAAACTAGCAAAGCTTGGGAAAACAACATGCGATGGCCTGTAAACATAGTATGCCTGTTTGTTTTCTCCTCTTATGTGAGATATTATATAGACATGTTACCAATTTCTACAACATATACAAATGCTGGTGATTGCTGTGCTTTTGGATAGTTAATTATAACTGTAATGATTGAAGTTTAGATATTTGTTATTATATAGGAGAGTAAAAAATTCTGAGTGGGTTATGTGTTTGATTGTAAAAGTTTGAGAAATAAGTGTATGGATCCCTCAAAAATTAGTAATTGGTCTGTTCTGTTTGTTTGCAAATTGTGCAGGAACTAGAGCCAGATGTCTCTTTGTGGATGAGTTTTGCTGTATTTCTGAATGGTTGGAATATGCAATCTCATGAGATAAGGATTTCCAGCACAGAGCCTTCAACCTTGAGCACCTGGCATCTCGTAAACTCCTTGCTCAAGAAAAGTGTTGAAGAGAAGATCAAATCTGCAAGTCCTATAACCACTTCTCCCGGATACCCCTTACTTATTCTGATCCAGCTTGTGACCGAACCTTTAACCTGGCAGGCTGTAATCCTCCAGTCATGCGTTGCCTCCATTCTCGACTCCGGGGTTCTGCAATCCTCCGAAAAGAATTCATTTTCCAAGTTGTTGTTATTGTTTGAACTCCAAAATTCAATCAAGTCTCTCAAGGAAACACTGGCGATGGTCGCAAAATGGTTGAGCGAGCAAATTACCGAGTCTGGCGACGCAAAGTTGGCCTTGCTTTCCATGCTGGAAACAGCAGCAGCAGATGAAACAATTGCAGGGCCGGGCAAAACATTCCAAACTCTTCGATCTCGTATCCTCAAGCAGGTGGATGATGAGGCAGTGCAGTCGTGGACGGGTTCTGAAGTTATAGAGGAGCTGGTGACGGGGCAAGTACGTACGCTGTCGGAGTTTCTTTTCTTCTGTGAGTCCAAAATTATGATGCTGGACAAGCTCAATGCTTCTCTTCTGAATCCACCGACAGATGATGATGATGATGAAATATGAGTGATGAAGAAGAGGTAAAAACATTAAACTCTTACAAAAAAAGACAAAAACATTAATCTTGATTGATTCTTGAGTTGTCACTCTGACTGCGCTGCGCACTGATAGATATTCTTTATTCCTACACAACACACCCACCCCACCCCACCCTGCTTTGAATAAAAGACTTGCTCCTCTTCTCTTCTCTTTTGTTCTGTTCTGTTCTGTTCTGCTCTGTGCATGATCGATCATCATCACTGTATCTCTGCATCTTCATCTGCATCCGTATCTGTATCTGTTATGAATAAGAACAGTTGACACGATGATGATGATGCATTTACTACTACTAGTTGTACTTTAATGAATGGGCACTCTAGTCTAGTCTAGTGTAGTCTACTATTAATTAACTTCCACTATGAGTTTGATAGTAGTATATATTATCTTGGTATTATGCTAACAATTCAATAATATTTTACTTACAAGTTACGTATCATCATCACCCACCAGTTTCTGAACCGGCTGTTAACAACAAACATTACATTGTAAATAACAATGAAATGCTGGCTGGGCCTGGGAAGATGTAGTATAATAATAGAATTAATAATTCGTCGTACCATTTGATCAAGTCAAGTCCTACAACTACAAGAATAAGAATATGTATGTATGTAAACAACTCACCCCATCCCCATGCATGTATGTAATGTATCTGCCCGCCTATAGAAATAATCGTGAGCCAACTCTTCTTTTGCAATTTTCTCAAGCTATACCTATACCTATACCTATACCTACTACTATTATTATTATTATTATTATTATATCGGAATGTATATAATATATACACGTATATTAATTAATTAATTTTGGCATCAAATTCATCCGTTTGAAGCTCTAGGGAATATTAATAGGAATGGGCGTGTATAAACTTAAATTACTTAAATTTGAAAAATGACATGAAAAGGGAATGCTCAATATATTATATATCATTGGAAGGTAAAAAGAAGAATATTATATATATAATAGTCAAGATGATTTGATTTGGTGTGACATACAACAATACTTAGATTCAAGATAATCGCTCCAAATGGAACCTGGGGACTGGCTTGTATGTCTTGTATTCATTCAGTAACTCTACCCCTTCTTTGGTCATGCATTAACCAACCTAGCTAATTAAGAAATAATTAATCAATTAAATCAAATCTGATATATATATATATATATATGAGATGATGCATGCAAGTAAAAAGCATAGCAAAGCAGCAAGAAGGAACCATGAAACTCAGGATGGATAGCGCTAGCTGTTAACCAAACAAGAATATGAACGAACGAATGATATAGATATACTATATCATGATCAAGCTGGCTTGGCTCGGCTGGGCGCTATCCCTCCTGAGCTTTATAGATCCTTCCCACAGTAATATCCTATATTAATATGAAGAAATGAAGCAAGCTGGGTAGCTGCACCTGGGACTACATCTATATATGAATTCCATGGTGGTGGAACTATTTATAGGGTTTGATGGTTGATGTAACGACAGTTTTAGGAACAATACTATAATCCAATTAAACTTGCACGTTTTCGATCCCCTTCCGTAATTGGACTGACTTGGTCCTTCTTCTTGATCTACCAATTACTAGTATTTAATTATTAATTCTCTCTTCTGTCTGTCTGGTCTGAATTTATTTTCAAATTTCTAAATAATTTCTTGTATGTATGTATATATGATGTCCGATTATCCATATGCTCCTTCTCTAGTCTCTCCCAATTCTCAACTTTGTCCGTCTCTGCAGGCAGGCATTCCCGCCTACTTGTTGTCGTGCTGACGTGGCTTGCTGAGAATCAATCCAATCCCAATCCCAATCCCAATCCCAGGTATGTATGTATGTTTCTCTCTCTCTCTCTCTCTCTCTGTCTGTCTATCTAGTTTCATCATCAATTCCCACCATATCATATGTCTGTGTATCCCTCGTCTCATCACCTCTCTCCACAAAAATGGCGGTTCCCTTCTTCAGTTCCACTTTTGCGTCCAGTTTCAGTTTCTTTCATCCCGCTCCCAAACTCAAACTCTGCTCCAATCACTTGCTCCGTTGTACCGCGCCATTCTCAGCCGGGTGGGTAAACCCTACCCCTAGTCTAGATGCTCATGTCATGCTCTCCCTCCCTTCCGATTTTTCAATTGATGATTCGATTTCTGCAGTTTGGAGGCCGGAGTCTTCCTGAGCGTGGGGGCACACGTAATTCCCCATCCGGACAAGGTGCTGCTGCTTTTCCATTCTATTCTATTCTATTATATTCTTCCTTAATCAATTAATTGTCTTCACGATTTCGCAGATCGAGAAAGGCGGAGAAGACGCTTACTTGGTCAGTAGCCATCGCGGCGGAGTTATCGCCGTGGCCGACGGCGTTTCCGGGTAACACTAGTACTACTGCTCTCTGCAATCCATCCACACACAGACACAGTCATACCAACAAATGAAAGAACTATTGCTAAGTACATAGGCGTTTAGTTAAGAGGTTGTACGCAGCGCAGTTGGGCGGAGAAAGATGTGGATCCTGCTCTCTTCTCCCGCGACCTCATGGCCAATGCCTCTGCCTTTCTGCAAGATCAACAGGTCTTTCTCTCTCCCTCTCTCTCTTACCCTTAATTGTTGTTCTGTATGTGTATGTGTAACCCCCGTTGATAGGTTAACTACGAGCCTCGGATTCTGATTCAGAAAGCACATTCTGCTACTTCCTCCGTCGGCTCTGCTACCGCGTATGTCCTATCTATCAATCTATCTATCTATCTTTCAATTCTGCAATGATTTTGTAGATATTAAAACCTAAATCTCCATATCACATATCATATTTCCTACTCATATATCACAAATTTCCTGAAAACAAAGACAACAACATAGAAGCCAAAAAAACCAGAGAAGGAAGAGCAGGGCATTTCATTTCTAGGCAAAATGATATATACAAAATCTCATATACATCCCTCTAGCTTCTCCAAAAGTTTTCCCAAACTAAATAACAGTCGCACATTCTACTTTCCACATCATCAACATATTAATATTTAAATATTAAACACAAAAATGCAAAATAGAACTTTTTTATAAAATCTCAAATATAACATTTTCCTCCTTTCGAGATTTTGCTAAAAACTTCCATCTCATTCCTAAGCTTCTCAAACTTGTCCCTTTGTCATCATGTCACCCCTTTTTCATCATGTCACCTAATTGATCTTCAGATCAACAATAAACCATACTAACTTTACCATTAGCTAGAGCTTCATGAATTGAATGAACACAAATGTGTTTAATTCTACTTGTGGACAAAAAATTGTGTTATTTTTAATAAATACAAAATTTATACAAATATATTTGATTTGGATTTAAAGCGGGCCCTATTTTCTAAATAGGTCATTTGATTCTCCTTCCGAGTCGATTTGTTTTTCAACTTGGTTTTTATGGCTTATTTGATTCGAAGAGATTTGTTCTTCGGTTTGACTTTACCGGACTTTGGAGGGCTTTGGTTTCCGTGCATGCAATTTGATCGTCAGTTTTGAATTTGATGTCCTCTTTGGACGATCCGATGCTTTGATCTTTGATTTGGTTTTGCCGCTTTTTGAAGAGCTTTGGTCTCCGTGTAGACGATTTGATCATCGGCTTTGGATTTAATGTCTTATTTAGACGATCCGATGCTTTGATCTTAGCTTTGGCTTTGCCGCCTTTTGAAGAGCTTTGTTCTCCGTGTAGGCGATTTGATCATCGGCTTTGGATTTGATGTCTTTTTTGGACGATCCGATGCTTTGATTTTAGCTTTGGCTTTGCCGCTTTTGGAGGACTTTGTTCTCCATGTGGGCAATTTGATCATCGGCTTTTGATTTGATATCTTTTTTGGACGATCTGCGACTTTGATCTTTGATTTGACTTTGCCGCTTTTTGGAGAATTTTGGTCTCCGTGTGGGCAATTTGATCATCGGCTTGGATTTGATGTCTTCTTTGGACGATCCGTGACTTTGATCTTTGTTTTGTCTTTGCCGCCTTTTAGAGGATTTTGGTTTCCATATAGGCGAATTGATCATGGGCTTTGGATTCGATATCTTCTTTGGACGATTTGCGACTTTGATTTTTGCTTTGTCTTTGCCACTTTTTAAGGATTTTGGTTTCCGTATGGACGATTTGATTATGGGCTTTGGATTTGATATCTTCTTTGGACGATCCGCGACTTTGATTTTTGCTTTGTCTCTGTCGCTTTTTGAGGTCTCCGTGCGAGCGATTTGATCCTAAGCTTTGGATTTGATGTTTTTTTTGGACGATCCGTGGCTTTGATATTTGAGGAGGTGGATTTGGTGCTCCATAACACTTTTGGCGGCGTGTCCCTTTGACTTTTGGATTGAAGAGGGCCTAGTTGATGCTTTTGACGAAGAACGCGACGAACACCTTGAAGCTTTGGGATTAACTTGGGAGGCTCTTCCTTGGCTTTGACGGATCCTTCACCGGCTTTTGGAGCTTTGATCCTTCCTCCGGCTCGGGCATACGACGAAGAACGTTAACTCCATCGATTGGTCAACCAATATTGGATCATTTGTCCAAATAAGTGACTTTCGACGAAGAACGCTTCGAAGAACGCGACAAACACCTTGAAGCTTTGTGATTAACTTGGGAGGCTCTTCCTTGGCTTTGACGGATCCTTCAACGGCTTTTGGAGCTTTGATCCTTCCTCCAGCTCGGGAATACGACGAAGAACGTCAACTCCATCAATTCGTCAACCAATATTGGATCATTTGGCCAAATCAGTGACTTTCGACGAAGAACGCTTCGAAGGACATGAAGAACGATACAGAGAGACTCTAGAGACTTACCCCTTGCTTGAATCCTCAGTGTAACTTCGATGTGTCAAATGAATTGGTCATGACTCCTATTTATAGGGGAGGGGTGGCCTCGGCTTCCTTTTTGAATGGTGTCATCTGGCGCGTCCTGATTGATCAACAGAAAGATTTTATAATTTTTTATTTTTCATCGGATGTTGTTTTTTATTCCTAAAGGATTTGATTGTGCACCTTCATTTTTCGCCTTCAAAAGATATTAATTTATATACTTCATTTATTGACAAGATCAATTTATTTTCCTGCCAAATTTATTATAACTCTATTTATGCACATAATATTTGTACAATATTTTTCATTTTAATCTGATTTTTGCATTAATAGTTGATATTTATTATACAAAAATTAATATATATGTATAATTAAATATCATATATTTATTTTATTGAAAATTTATTTTTTTCCAAAATAAATTATATTTAATTTAATTTAGGCATTTAATTTTTAATGTCTACACTACCGTGAAAAACATGATTCTTTGACATATCAATGACTGATTTGTTATCCACAAACAGCTTGACAACTCCTCCTTGCTCCATGCCCAATTCTTTCAATATTTAAGTTAACCATCTCACATGATTTGTAGCATTGGCGGCAGCTATATACTCCGCTTCAGCTTAGGATTGGGCAACCATATCCTATTTTTTTGAACTCCAAGTAAACACTCCAGAACCAAAGGAGAAAACAGAGCCTGATGTACTTTTCATGTCATCTACACTCCCTGCCTTATCTGAATCGGAATATCCCATCAATTGCTTTCCATGATCAGATGCATAGAAAATTCCATAATGCACTCTCTTTACAATACCCAAATGCACTTGTCTAGGTGAATGCATAAACCTTGACAACAAGCTTGTAGAATACATCAAATCGGGTCTAGTGTTAGTCAAGTACATTAGACTTCCCACTAGACTGCGGTATATAGATGTATTGACCATATCACATTCATCATCCTTTGAAAGATTCTCATTAACAACAAAAGGAACAAATGTAGCATACTTCTCTTGGCTAATGAAAATTCCAAATTTCAATTTCAGTATTTTCATTCCAAGAAAATAATTCAATTCACTCAAATCAGACATCTCAAATGCCCTTTTCATTTCTGTCTTGAATTCAACCACTTGTGTTTCATCACTCCCGGTTACCAACAAATCATCAATATAGATATATACAATGTGAATATTATCTTGTTTTGCTTTCTTAATATACAAAGTAGCATCATTATGGCTTCTGAGAAATCCCTATTTTTGCAAAAATTCATCAACCTTCTTGTACCAAGCTCTTGGAGCTTGTTTTAAGCCGTACAAAGGTTTGTGCAATTTAAGAACCATATTTTCCTTGCCTGCAACTTTGAATCCTTATGGGTGTTCAAACATAAATTTTTTCTTCCAATTCGCCATTAAGGACTGCAGATTTGACATCCAAATAAAACAATTTACATCCTTAACTTCACCATTATCTAGAGCTTCATGAATTGAATTACAAAAATGTGTTAGTTCTACCATGAAAAAAAGGATTCTTTGACATAGCAATGACTGATTTGTTATCCACAAACAGCTTGACAGCTCCTCCTTGCTCCATGCCCAACTCTTTCAATATTTTAGTTAACCATCTCACATGACTTGTAGCATTGGCGGCAGCTATATACTCTGCTTCAGCTGAGGATTGGGCAACCATATCCTACTTTTTTGAACTCCAAGTAAGCAATCCAGAACCAAAGGAGAAAACAGAGCCTGATGTACTTTTCATGTCATCTACACTCCCTGTCTGATCTGAATCGGAATATCCTATCAATTGCTGTCCATGATTAGATGCATAGAAAATTCCATAATCAACCGTTCCTCTTAGATATCTTAGAACTCTCTTTGCAACACCCAAATGCACTTGTCTAGGTGAATGCATAAACCTTGACAACAAGCTTGTAGAATACATCAAATCGGGTCTACTGTTAGTCAAGTACATTAGACTTCCCACTAAACTGCGGTATATCGATGCATTGACCAGATCACATTCATCATCCTTTGAAAGTTTCTCATTAACAACAAAGGAGTACTAACTAGTTTGCTCCTCCACATCTGAAACTGCTTCAACAAATGTAGCATACTTCTCTTGGCTAATGAAAATTCCAAATTTTAATTTCAGTATTTCCATTCCAAGAAAATAACTCAATTCACCCAAATCAGACATCTCAAATGTCCTTTTCATTTCTTTCTTGAATTCAACCACTTGTGTTTCATCACTCCTAGTTACCAACAAATCATCAACATAGATAGATACAATGAGAATATTACCTTGTTTTGCTTTCTTAATATAAAAAATAGCATCATTATGGCTTCTGAGAAATCCCAATTCTTTCAAGAATTCATCAACCTTCTTGTACCAAGCTCTTGGAGCTTGTTTTAAGCCGTACAAAGCTTTGTGCAATTTAAGAACCGATTTTCCTTGCCTGCAACTTTGAATCCTTGTGGTTGTTCAACATAAATTTCTTCTTCCAATTCACCATTAAGGAATGCAGATTTGACATCCAAATAAAACAATTTCATCCATAACTTCACCAGCAGCTAGATCAATAAGTAATCGAATGGTATCAAATCTTGCCACGGGGGCAAAATTCTCTCCATAATCAATTCCAGATTCTTGTGCAAATTCTTTAACAACCAACCTTTCTTTCAATTTGTTGAGTGTGCAATCTGAATTCAGCTTTTTTTATAAATCCGTTTCAGTCCCAAATCATTCTTTGCTTCTGGTTTAGTAACCAATTCCCAAGTTTCATTCTTTATAATCATATCAATCTCATTTTTCATTGCTTGAATCCAATTGTCATTCTTCACATCTTCTTCAAAGCTTGTAGGCTCAATTGCAAAGTTGCATTTCTCGTATATCTCTTGCAAGCTTTTCAAATTTTGGCTTTCATTTTCATCTAAATCATCATCACTGATTTCAGATGTAAAACCAGTAATGCCCAACAAATCGATGAGTTCTCTCCAAATTCCTTCAATCTCTCTGTATTTGTTGCAACACCCAATTCCAATAGCTTCCTTAATCAAGAATCACATCTCGATTGATTTTCACTCTATTTGTCTTCAAATCATAAACGCGGTAACCTTTTGTTCTTGTAGCTGCTGGAACATGCACATAACACATGCACCTAAAAACTTTTAAGTGCTTTGCAGATGGTTTGCTTCCACTCTAACTCTCAATTGGTGTAGTATCTCTCAGTGAAGTAGTATAGCATCTATTTTGAAGATAGATAGCAGTAGAGGCAGCCTCTGCCCAAAACTTATTCGGAAGCTTCATCTCAAGTAGCATGCATCTCACCATTTCAACAATAGTTCGATTTCTCCTCTCCACCACTCTATTCTGTTCAGGAGAATATGGTGCTGTGAGCTGATGATCAATGCCATTATCATGGCAAAAAATGTTGAAAGCACTTGAATTATACTCCATCCCATTATCGGTTCGAATGCCTACAACTTGCCGCCACTTTGATTTTCAACCATCACTTTAAATCTTTTGAACACTTCAAACACTTGGGATTTTTGCTTGATAAAGTATATCCATGTCATTCTTGTCAAGTCATCTATGAACAACACAAAATATCGTTTTCCATTGCATGATCCAGTTTTCATAGGACCACAAACATCTGAAAGTTGTAGTTTCCTTTCAGCTTCCTATGCTCCTGACTTGGGAATCTTGCTCCTATGTTGCTTTCCAAGTTGGCAAACAGTGCACACATCATTTAGGTTAGAGATTAATGACATGTCTCTAACCAAATTATTTTTAACCATATGAACAAGAGCTTCATGATGATGATGTTCATATCTTCTATGCCACAGTCCTGACACATCAACCTTATAAATATTGCTATTTCAACTTCATTGTGCATATAGAATGGAAAACTCTTGTCAACCATTGGAAGTTTAACAAGAAGAACCTTGTGCATATCATAAATAAAACAACTTTCATTCTTGAAAAATAAAGAATATCCGTTGTGTAGCAACTGACTAAGTAAGTTGTGTGCTAGTTTTGGAATGTAGAGAACATTTTTCATCAGCATAGTACATTTTCTTTTGTCTTCACCTCTATGTCTCCTTTCCCTTTGGCTTGTAACATCTCACCATTACCAATCTTCAGTTTGGTCTTTATAGATCTATCAAAATTTAATAAATAAACTCTCATCTTTTGACATGTGTGAGGTACACTGATACGCGGTGGGCGCAGCCAAAAGCTTATTTACGACGAGGGAGGAAAGAGCAAATGCGCTTTTGGGCTAATTGTGGCAATGATTGGAAGCCTAAGTTTATTATTAAGTACCTTATTTCTTTATTTTTTTATTTGATTATTTTGAATAAATTGTTAGGTTGGTCGGGCCTAGGCCCATAGTCGTTTTGCCTTAGTATTTAAGTATTATTTTGAGACATTATTAGCATTCTAATTTTTCTTTAGTTTCACGGCTTCGGCTTGATCGGGAAGAGTAGTTCTTTCTTGGTTATCAATAAAGTTTAGTCTTTTGGTTCTCTTAAGTTCTCGTGGTATCATACACTCACTATCAATAAATCATATATATTTGTTTGATTTACTGACATTATGAGTGACCATAAAAAGGTTAGCTTCTCCTTCTCTTTCATCTTCTTGTTCTTCCACAATATTAGCGTGTTGAGCAGGCTGTGGTGGATTTAGCTGTTGTTGTTGCTGCTTTGCTTTACAACTTTTTTCTACATGTCCTTGCTTCTTACAAAACCAACACTGAATTGGTTTTTTTTTCCTTGGACCAACAATCTTTCTCAAGATTTGTTCTTGCACAATACCTACAAGAAGGATATTGGCCTCTTTTATCAGCCCCCTTGGACTTTCTTTTTCCTTTCTTACAATTGATTTCAGCTCAGTATGCCTTTTCCAATCTTTCTTATCCTTCTTCCACTTTTGCTTACCCCTTCACTCGTGGCTTCATCTCACAAACTTGCCATTTGCTCTTGAGCTTGTAATTTGCTAACAAGTTCAGCAACTGATAGAGTTTTCAAATCACATGTCTCTTCAATAACATCCACTTTAGCTTTAAATTGTGAGGGCAAGCTTATTAGCATTTTCTTAACCACCTTTCGATCACTAACATCTTTTCCCAGAATCCTCATTCTATTTACAAGATCAGCAAGCTTGGAAGAGTATTCCTTAACAGATTCACTCTCTTTCATTTTTAACAACTCAAGATCCCTCTTGAAAGTTAAAACCTTCACAGATTTTACCCTTTCATTCCCTTCAAACTCATTCTTCATTTTGTCCCCAAGCTTCTTTAGGACTTTTGCAAGTCATTATCCTTGTGAACACTGTCTCTGTCACAGCTGAATAGATGCAGCCTTTGGTTTCTTGGCCTTCTCTTCTTCATGTAACTTCATTTGAGCTATGGTTGGATCTTGTCTCAATGGAACAGGCTCTCTTTCATTTTCAAGAACATCCCATAAACTTAAAGCCTCTAAATATGTCTTCATCTTTATAGCCCATATAAAATAATTTCCCCCATCAAATATAGGAGGACCCGTACCTGAAGGATTTTCTGTAGCCATCTCTCTTCAAACCTCAATTCTTAAAATCAACTCGTAGGTCCCCAGGAGGAAAGCTACTGTATTTCATTTCTAGGAAAAATGATATGTAAAAAATCAGATATAATCCCTCTAGCTTCTCCAAGAAGCTTTCCCAAACTAAATAATAGCCAAATATTCTACTTTCCACATCATCAACATATTAATATTTAAATATGAAACACAAAAAGACAAAATAGAGTTTTTCTTATAAAATCTCAAATATTAACAGATTTTAATTGTATCGATTATATATTCGACAACCACATGCTTTTTTAGAGTTGTTGCAATGCTGGAAAGGAATGGAATACTGAAGATTGCCAATGTTGGGGACTGTGGTGTTAGAATCATTCGAAAAGGTTCATCTGCATTTTTGTAGCTTTCCTGTTGATTCGAATTGTCTGTGTCTGCCTATATCCATTTGTTTTTTCACGGTTTGCGTTTGTAGGGCAGATAGTGTTTGCAACATCTCCTCAAGAACATTATTTTGATTGCCCCTACCAATTGAGTTCAGAGGCTGTTGGGCAGACATTCGTTGATGCCACGGTGTGATGAATTAATTCGATTGATCAGCTGGGGATCATTGTCTTATTTTTTGTTGTTCTCCATTGTTGAGACTGCTGAGCAACCATGGTGTCTTTCTGTGTGAAAATGCAGGTTATGACTGTCGAGTTGATGGAAGAGGACACCATTGTGATGGGCACAGATGGCCTTTTCGACAATGTTTTCGACCGGGAAATTGTTTCAGTTGTTGGTTCTTGCAGGAATGTTTTGGATTCTGGTAAGTAGGATCCTTTCCCCTGTAGCCTTCCCTTTAAACTTGTACATTATAGTAACGCCATGTTTTGGAAGGTAGCAAAGGAATTAGCTAAAATTGCTCACGACCACTCATTGGACTCCAATTTCGACTCCCCTTATTCACAAGAAGCTCGAACCCATGTGAGTAGATCACACCAACTATCTACATCACTGTACAGTACAGTACAGTACTGAGAGAAAACTAATACCTACCTAGCTGATTTCTGTTGAGCAGGGCATTGATGTTCCCTGGTGGAAGAAAATTATGGGCATGAAATTAACAGGCAAGGCAGGCTAGCTTTAGCTAAAACATAAACTTGTATTGCATTGCATTGTGTTGATTGGTTTGTTCCCTTTATTTATTTATGGCGGCCAGGTGGGAAGCGGGATGACATTACTGTCATCGTTGCGGAGGTGAAGAGCTCTTTCATCTCTTAATTCGTAGTAGAAAGAAATAAGAGTATTTGGATTGGGAATGCCCCTGCAACAGCAGCACCAGCAGCAACGCAATGCAATGCTATGAGCAGCAGCAGCAGGTATATATATATATACATTATTGCTCTTTCTCACTTTGTAGCAAGTATAGTATAGTAAAGTATACTTTTGGTTGGCTAGGCTTCTTGGAGAGGAGAGGAATTCTATGATATATGATTAATCTACTTATCTTGTTTGTTAGGGGAGAAGAACATTAATTTTAATTATATTATTTTAAAATATTTTAGTAATTTTATATATATTTGTAATTTGATGTTTAGGTGGCCGTATTAGATTTTTTTTTTTCAAGCTTTGAGCAAAAAATATAAAAATAGATTAAATTTATTTTTAAAATGAAATTAAAGATAAATATAATAATGAATTTTACAAAAGCAAACATTATTTTAATTATATATCCAATAAATACGAACATATGTACAAAATGTATTATCAGTACAAAATAAACAATATCTTAACTATTGCAAATTCAATAATAATAATAATAATAATAATTAGGAACATCAAATGCATTTTCAATTGCAAATTTTCTGCACAAAAGAAACCCAAACTAAAATAAATTTTAAGTTGAATTTTAATGATATAATCAAATTATAAATTCATATAGGGTGTGTTTGGTAAGGGTTTTGAATTTTATATTGAGATTTGAATAGTAAAAATTTTAAATGTAAATAGTTGTATGATGTGATATAAACAAGCGTTAGTATAATATAAAAAATAGAAAAATAGGTGTTTGATTTGATTTTTGGAGGAAAAAAAATTGAATAAACAGTAAAGTTTGAGGAAAATACCCCAAACAAACACTCATACTATACTATAATTAAATTAAAATATGCAAAAAGATAATAAAAAATTTAACTTAAAAAACAACATATGAAAATAAATTCTAAACAAAAAAAATTTAAAGTACTTATAAGATTGTTATTAAAACAGTCGTCTTGTCCATGTATTATTTGAAGTAAAGTGTCAATCAAATCTTCATAACTTTGTCCAAATTATTATTCTCAATTGTTACGAAAGCTACTTCATTTCCTGAGACATAGTACTATGTAAATAAGTTTTAAGTAACTTTAATTTAATTTTTTTTTTAGATTGTTACAATTGCTACCGTCGATGGTTAAAAATATCATATATGCAAAGATTGCATTGGAAAAATGATTAATAAATTCAAAAAGATTATTATATCTAGAATTTCAAATATATTTTTAAGTAAACACTATTGTTACAACTTCAACTCCATATTATTATAATAATAATAAATAAATAAATAAAAATCAACTCCACGTATAAATTATATTTATGAATATAACCATTATCACCATCTAAATGCATTCTCCAAAATAGTATAAGACTTTGAATTGACACGTCTAAGGAACATAATTTCTTGGAAGAAAAAAAAAAAAATCAAATGCATTTTTATATTTTTCAAACATCTTATTAAATGAAAGAATTGTGGTATCAACGATCAATTAAAATAAACAATTTTGAAAGATTGTCCTACATTTTGTCTACTCTCATCACATTGACTCTAATCAAATTGTTATTATTTTTTAACTTGACGCTTTTGATGAAAAATTAGATCAATATCTATTTTAATTGTAATTTCTTTGACAACCTCAATGGCATTTGTAAAATCTTGCTCTATATTTCTTAAAAACTAAAATGTTTCCCACATTTTCAATGGTAGCACAAACAAACATGCGTCTTGATTATAATTTTTTGCTAACTAATTTAATTACATAAATTACAACCAAAACATTACTCTATAGTATTCGGCCTAAAACATTACTCTAACATAAATATTTTTTTGCTAACTAATTTATCAATATTACTCTCCCGACAAGTGTAAGACAATAATTTAGAAATTACATATTTTTACATTAATTTTCAAAATATGTCATTTCTCTGTAGAATTTACAAATATAGTTGTTGAGTTATTAACCAAAATTTGCAAATATAGTATTCGGCCCAAAACATGAACAACAAATTTAATCTATAGTTCAAAGGGGGCTACTGAAGGCCAAATCTAGTAAATGTTCGGCCCTTATTAGTTGGGTGCTAGTCTAATGACAGAGACCAAATACGGGAAATTCAGTCCATATAAGAATTGTGAGGTGGTTGAGAAAAGTTCACCTGTAGTTGTTTGAGTCCAAGGAAATCAGAACCTTTGAGTGCCAGAAATGTTACAGTGAATTTGGAATAATAATAATAAAAAAATAAGCAAGGTATCTGAGACAGATAAAATATTTTTTACAATAAAAAAACGCTAACATATTAATTATTTTATAATTTAAGAAATTCCAATTCCTTGGATAAAATATATTGATCATGTGAGAGGCATTTGATAGTATCTCAACATCGTTATCCAAATTAGCACAAGTTAGGAGTGTGTTTGTTTTGTGAAATAACTTGAAGTGATACTTTTTAAAATGATGTATAAAAAATTGTCTAGGTAATATAAAAGTAATGAATCGTATGTGTGTATTTGCAAATTTTACAAAAAAAAAAAAACACACCCTAAATTTTCAGTATTAGAATAAAATTGCCAATATCAATATTTTCATCTTCATCAACAATATGATCATTAGTATTAACATTTTAAGCCTTAACATCATCAATGATATGATCACCAATATATATATATATATTATTATTATTTTTCAACATTCAATTATCGTTATATAATAATAAATTTATTAATTGCTGCACTTTAAAATTGAATTGGCGGCTCATTAATTTTTTTTTTTTTTTTTTTTTTGTTTTTCATATCCTGGCTTATATATATTTTTTAAGAGGTATAATTTAATTTGTTATTTGTAATAAGTAAGAAGAATAAATATGGATAATTTCGTTTGATTAGCAACGTCTCGATGATTCAGTTCTGCATAGTAATAATAATAATGATAATAATAAGATAAAATTAAATTAAAATTTGGTCATGATCATAAATCATGATCCTCAGTTTCGATTTCTCAAGTAAATAATGTTATAACTTCATACACCTAATAATAATAATAATAAGCTAAAAACTAAAAATACAAGGCTCTTTGGCCAAAAGCTCCTCCACCCGGCGGTATGGGATGAACTGACCGTAAGGGTTTCCATGGTATACAAAAAGAAAAAGGAAAAAACTACTGAGTCTGGATGTTTAGTTGCTAGTTAAAATTAATATATGCTCTTTTTCGTGTCTACGCGCCTCAAGAGATTTATTTATGTATGTTGTGATGTAATAATCATAATATTCCATGTCGAAGATATAAATTACATTTATCGCTTCACTTAGATACTATTACGTTCACGTTTCAGAGACGTAATCAAATCGATTGGTCCCCAAACATATGAAATCAGTGCAAGAATCCTCGTGTGAACAAAACTTACAAAATTTCGTGTGTCCTACAACAGCTTTTTGTCTCCTTTCTTCAACTCAAAATAATCCTCGTGTCAAAAAATAACTGTCTAAATTTGTGACCCAATACATTACAAAGTAGAAAAATGAATCCTAATTTGACAAGAGCGAGCATTAATCATTATTCAATTCAAGTCAAGCCACAAGTAATGAATGGAAGAAATATAGCTAGCTCACCATAACCACCCGTTGTTACCTAATCAGTGCAGAAATGGTGCATCATCATCCTATTTGCTTTGCTTCTCAGTGCCCTCACCGCCGTCGCCATTGTGGCTGTTTAGGTCTTGGAAGAAGGTTTTTGCTGATTCATACGTAGACCAGCAAATGGCAGCTGCTGGAGCATGGAAGAGCATTCTGGGCAACCATCCTCTCATTAGACCTCTATATCCATCTTTTTGTACGATTGTTCTAACAACATCTTGAATTGAACCGCTAACGAATCTGTCGCATCCACAAACACCCTGCAACAACAGCTCAATTGGTTGAGATAATTGCACAAAGCTGTACGAATATGAAAATAATTGGTGTGGACATTGAATCAATAGATGTGCATGGATGAGGTTGAAAAGATCAAACTAAAAGATAGTATCCGCATATCTCTAGATTCAGATATGTATCGAAGAATATTACCAAGGAAAAGATCAGATCAATAACTAGTTAATGTCATATCAATCGGACTAATTGACTGATATTATTGGTTAAAGTTTGCTCCACCCTTATGCTTATAGTTATCAGTAAATAACAGAGCTTATAAACAAAATGAAATTAAATATTAAAAACCATGAAATGAGGTTTGCCATAATCAAAATATCAAATATGCATTCTCTTGAGGATAATAGTTCTGTTCTGAGGCCAGTATATACAAGTCAAGTCATATTCGAATCTCACCAAGAAAAGGGAACTGAAATAAACAATCAATATTTCATGAAAACGCTGAAGACCTAAGATGGATATAACACAGAGATCAAGTGGCCAGTATACTTAGAGCTAGATTCGAGATGTTACATGCAAATAACGAGTAAGAATTTTTATACAGTGGAAATTACATACAAGAAAATCTCTGGTTCATTTAAAAAATAACAACAACAAATATGTATGTGTATATATATATATACAATAACCCAAACACTTTTCAGCACTGTAGCCACAGTTTTCAAATTTGAAAGATGACTTAAGGACGGGGACTCAAAGTCAGAGGAGTCCTTACATCCTTAGATTGTATCACTGTAGATTAAGATGAATCTTGTATGGGTGGAAAATTATTAAGTATTACTATGTGGATATCATGCTACATTTGATCTCATCTAACAATGTAAATATGAAGATCCAACACGGGGTTGTTCACAGTAAAGTTTACCAAATTTCAACTGATGATCCCACAACATATCCCTCCTGTAAGAATGCAGAATGTTGAATGGGAACTAGAAATTTATAACATCCAAGACCTTCAAGGGTTTGCTTCCAACTGATTTTTTATTTTTTTATTTTTCAAGCACAATCTCTAGTTTGCAATTTGAAATATTCGCCATTCAAAACATCAACAAACTTCATTTCCTAAGTATGTAAAGCATAAACTATCCACACTCTTCAAAGGGAGACATAGATTTACTATGTAATCTGTAAAGATGTATTTACTTTGTAAGATGGTATTATAATTGATCGTATTATTTTAATAGATTATATAATTATGAAACTAATAAATATCATGTTAACTTTACTTGATTAAATACAAGATAATATAAACTTTTAATACAAATATTGCTTGAGATAAACTAATCTCATCCATCTAGGTAGGATTAATTATCCCTAATCAGTGTTTTATTATACAGGGCTTTAATCAATCCGGGATTTTAATAAGTTAAAAGTAAACAAGTGATTAGGTTGGATAATATAAAATTATCCACCCTAATCACCCAAACTTATCACACTCTTATATTTATCCTATGAACCTTTGTCTACTAACACGATGTCTTTCAGACACGGGGGTTTAGAGAATTCTATGAAGATTCAACAGAAGAAATGATAGCTTAAGGGAAAAAGAATTCAAACATGGGAAGGTGAAGGATTTTCCAAGAGGAAGGGCTTAAGAAACCTGGATATGAGTTTTCTCATTGACATGTGCAATGAAAGAGTGTACAGAACACTGCAAATGTCAGCTGGTTGCAACAAAGTCATATATAAGCTCAAGAGCTCAACTATACCGAAGTAATCACGACTCAGCCAAATTATATATGCTATTATCTAATTATCACATAGGAAAACATCAATAAGTTAATATATCACTTAAAGCCCACGCATGTCAGCATCTATCATTCAACTTGAAGAATGGAGTTAAATATGAAACGGAAAAGAATTACCAGCATCTGGATAAACAACAATAAATCTAAAAACTAAGAGATTTATTTTTTCCCTGAATAATTTTGCAATAAAATTTTATAAAAACAATAATAGTTCTACTTTTATTATGGTTAAAACATGTTTGTAGAGCATTATTGATGTCCTCTTCACCCTCACCACCCCAAAGCTTCCTTACAATAATAGTCTAACCACCAGCACATCATGCCTACAAAATCCCACTTAAAATTCTACTAAACCCTGCCTAACCTCCATATCAGCCACAAGCCCCGGCTAGCCTACAAGTCTATAGAAGGGCTAGAAAGGAAAACAAAACAACTAATCATAGGTTATGCTACCAATGGCAGCCAAAAAAGCATCATCAAGTCTACAGAAGCCAATATCATCTTTTTCTCATTTGGCTTCTCAATAACCATTCCATTCAAATGAACTACAAGTTTGACTTCTAAACTACTGGCATATACCGAAATAGCAATCATGAGCATCACTAACCAAACACACAAAACCCGAGCACATTAAGACACCGAATTCCAACAATACTAACAACTCTTTTAACTTTCTTTCACAAGACATAAAACACCAAGAAAAATCCTCTTTTCTTTATATGATCCAAACAAAATGCAAGCCAAATACCTGACACTGCAATTGAGTTTTCACCACATCTAGAGGAGTGGTCAATGCTGCAGCCGAAGCCCCCGCCAATGCTCCCGCTGTAGCATGCACTATCAAATTCTCGTCACTGACACTGCCCGGCGAAACCTCCATCAAACCTCGCTTGGCTGCCTCATAGGTCGCAAAATGCACCGCCGTAAAAGGTGCATTCATTAGCACCGTGGTCCTGTAAGACGCATAAAATGCCCCCAGCCCTTCCTCCCTCAGCACCCTCCCCACGCAGTCCCACACCCCTTTATAAGGGCTTCTGCCCAATTGAAGCCTCTGCTTCACCATATCCATGGGGGTAAATACAGCATCACTAGCAACCGTAGCACAAACACCAGAAGCAGCGTGCGCCGCGTGGTTGTCCGGATCCCCGCCGGAAAACTTCTTCTTACAGAACTCGTAAACGGAGAAATAAACGGCGTGTGCAGGGCCGGCGCCGAGCCCCATAGCGCCAATCCCGCGGTAGAGTCCTTTGACTCCATCCGTCTTCAGAATAGAGTTCAGGGCCTGGTTAATGCCGGCGGATTTGATAGGGCAGGTGCCGAGGGCTTGCATTTGGGTTTTGACTGTGTCGACGGGGAACATTGCCATGTGCTCCACCATCCCAGCAATCGAGCCGGCAACCATGAATTGCCAGAAACGGAGGCCGTCGTGCTCCGCCGCGGCGATTGCGGGGTTGTACTCCGGCTGCTGCGGCACCGGTATAAGGTCCGGTTTCTTGAATTTCGGGGAGGCGTCGGTGGCCATGGGAGGAGGAGGAGGAGGAGGAGGAGGAGCAGGAGAAAATAATCGATAGGCCGCAGTTGGTGACTTTTGTGAGGCTCCTCGCCATACAAAGGTTCTATGCACGCGGACTGAACCTAACCGACATCAACATCGATCGGAGAAGAAGGAACCAATGCAAATGAGTGGAAGGTTCCCGCAACTTCAACCTCCACGCCAAACCGATTGTATCGTTGAAAGGCAAGCAGCACAGCACACGTCTCCTCCACCTGCAGTTGAATTGTCAAACCTCTTAGGGTTCCAAAATTTTGGGGATTTTGCAGCCACTGATCGCTCGCACGGTAACCGTAGATCCACCCTTTATTGCGATGGGCCTCGTGATGCAAAACAATGCTCAACACAACTCCGCCCGTATTGAAGTAATAAAAGTATAGGCAGTATAGGCTGTGTGTTTTGATAATTTGAAGGGATATTTTGTATCTGACACGTGAAAAATTGTACATTAAATATAAAAGTAATACTTTTTTAATTCCAAAAAAGATGTTTTTTTTTTTTTTTTTTTTAACATCCTACAAAAGATGAGTTTTTTTTTTCATTTTTAATAAATTTATCAATTTTAAATATTCTTACTAAATATAAATCAATTTAATTAAACTTCTAACATATAGAACCTACTCAAAACTCTTTAATTTCTATCTCTTTCCTTAATTAACAAATATTTTTGAATAGATATGTTTTTATATTAAGTAAGAAAAATATTATCAAAATAATATTTCATTTTTAAAAATAAAATATATTATATCAATATATATTATATTTTTTTTTATAATATTTATAAAAAATCAGTTATTTACAATTCATTTGTATTTTTGTTTTGATATATGAAATTATATTGATACTATAAAATTAATATTTTTATTACAAATAATTTTTTGTAAATATATAATATAGGGAAAATTGGATTAAAATACTAGATAAATCCAATTGCAATTCAGTTCATATTTGAAATCAGTTAGACTGCCGTCCCTATTTTATAAATTAGATATGTTATAGCTCCCCACTTTACATTTTTTCCTGAATTAATGGTATATTTGCAACATGTACTCGAAATAGGTTGATCAATACTTCAAATGTTGTCATATATACTTACGTTACTTCCCGTTTTACTATCATTATAAATCTATATACTTATACTTAAATATCACGTATCTTTTTTCGCGAATTAAAAAAAAAAAAAAAAACAGTTACCCATGATTTAATAGGGGTTGGGTTGAGACAGAAAACCTCTCATAACTCTCCTCACCCTGATTTTAAACCTTACATCTTCCATCTTTAGGCAAACTGATGTTCTCCAACCCAGCGATCAAGTAGCAACCAATCACAGGAAAAACAGTGAAGAAAACAGTTGACCTGCTCCCATTATCTGGGACAAGCTCGAAGAAGTAAGTGTCTGGTCGGACCTTTTCCGATTTTGTTGAAATTAGTATTTTATATTGTAGTTTGGTCAATTGTTTGGGGTGTAAGTTTTGGTCTCGTATTTGTATGTCTCGGGTCCATGTTGTGGAGCCCTGGGTGATTGGTAAATTGTATTTGTTAATCGGATTTAAAATTTTTCGTATGTTTGCCCACGTAGATCGGATTTGATGTTTTATTTTTGCACCGATTTGGGTAATTTTATTTGTTTAATCTGTGATTTTTTTTTTTTAATTTTGTAAATATACATTTTGTTTTGGTTATCCGAAGTTGCATAATTTAGTTTTTTTTGTTTGATAGTTTGATAATTAGTCATGTTTGTGGGTCGGAAAATGTGGTATTTTTAGGTACCCCGAGTTTCATCTTTTAGGTCTAGTTTGCTAATAGTATACTTTTAGGGGATTATTGTGTACTCGGAATGTATTGTTATGTACTTTTGATAGATTCTGATAAATTTTTAAATAAATTCGAGATTTGGGTAATATGGACTAATGGTGTTTATTTATCGTAGGTTGGGTTGTGCTTGAGTGCAATTCACTGCGTGATCCATTCGGACAAGGGAACACGAAAAAATTGGTGCTTTATGAAATAAATATAAATAATTGACCGTGGATAAACCGAATTATGTAATAAATATTGTGTTATTTTGCAAACGTGTTTTTTATGCTTGTACCTTAATAGAATACACATACGGCCCATGGTGAGAAAGACGCCAGAGTACGTAAGATGTCAGCATCAAGGTGACACTTTCAACTGCAGCATTTTGGTCCACATGTTTGCCAAAGGTTATGCCCACGTGAATCCGGTAGTTCATCTAATTGGTGGCATCAACGGCGAGTTTGATATGTGAAGTGCTACTACGGTAAAAATTTCGGTAGAATACTGAAAGGTCCATCATCCGAACCGTGGACTCCGATGAGCAACACAAGGTAAGTGAACGTCTGTAATGAATTTGGATGGATTTGGGGTTGATTTAAGTTGTTTTATTTGTGTTTGATTTGGGTAATGTGTTATTTTCATATTGAATTGTTGGTTGAATTGATTTGATTGGTCTATTATTCAATGGGATTGTATTAAGATTGATTGAGAGATTGAATCGTTGGTTGAATTTGGTGAAATTTAATGTTTAGAGTAATGTTATCAATTGTGCAGTGAATGATTGTATGATTAATTCTTCACATGGTTAGAATTGCTATAATGCACATGTTGTACCTCCACAAGGGTTCGATATGCCCAACTAACTAGATCGAAATACCTTTAAAATACATACATATGCTTATATACATGTTACCTATTAGTTAAGAAGGTTATCCTTGTAAGAAGACAACAACGAGCCAGAAAAGTTATGCATACTTCTTTTAAATTTGAATTAACTAATTCATTACAAGATCTTGCAATGGTTGAAGTAATGTATGCAATGAACATAAGTGCAATTGCGGATACTTGAGTACATTAGTGGTGCACATAAGAAAAAAAACATATACATGTATTGCAAAGGTTTATGCCTTCCCAATTGCTGTCATTTCTCTAAACCACCGATGAAATGAAGAAGTGCTAATAGAAAAAGTATTTTCACCGAGTTCCTTAATTGTCTAATCCGTCAAAGGATTGAGTGAAGTTGACCACATTCAAAGATACATGTTACTATATAAATAATACCTAACCAATCACCAATCATACCTTGATTGTCAATGCTCGTATCCAGACACATTGTTACATACTTGCGTTAAATAACAACATACCGCATAGTAGTTATTACATACCTATAATACGATCTTATATGCTCCAGCAACGAGTATCTATGCCCGGGTAACTTGTTCTTGGAAATTGATCATTTTGAATTTGAAACATTCAATTGTTGTCACTAATCATGGATGAATTCATCATTATAGTGTTCTTGCAGATCCTAGAACTATATAAAAAGATAAAGAAAAAACACATATTTACTATGGATTGATAAACAAGATAGAAAATACTCGGTTGAGATGACATTGAAAATATAAGAATAATACAAGTTCTAGGATGCAATCTATTATGCACCAATATACCAATAGTTCCATTGTAGTCGAAACATGTCTCATTCTTATATAATTGTCACTTAAAGTAAATTTAATCTCATAATAATACTATTGACACAATCAATAATTTTAATAAAATAATATTGGAAAGTACTATATATCCACATGTTAATGGTAACCGGGGATGAATTAAACAAGATAATTGTTTTTACCAATTTCTGGAGAGTATTAACATGCAAAGAGTACATGTTTACAAGAATCCAATGGGGAAACACTACCATACATCATTGCTCTCACGGATTGATTGTTATTTAAACCTATTACATAGTAATCCATAGCGTAGCACATATAACAACATTCGATCTACCGAGGCTAAGAGAGGAAATGCTCTCACCAAGTTTGCGAATCAATCCCTCTGTCTGGGATTGATTGAAATCAACTAAATTCGAGGATACCTGATACTACACAGATAATACCTAAGCAACTATTATTTATACCTTACTAGTTGGTGGTTGTACTTGGATAACACATATACATATCTGCATAAAAACTCTACATACCCTGGAACATATCTTACTTACGTACCTATAATAATAGTTTCATATGCTTCAGTAACGAGTATATATGCCCCGGTAACATGTGGTTGGAGAATCAGTCATTTTCAGTTCGAAATATTCATTTAATGTCAGTAGCTAGGGATGAATTCATCATAGTAGTGTTCCGATGACACTCCGAATTGCATAAAAGGGTAAATAATACATATTTATTATGGATGGTAAAAAAGTCATAAATGACTTAGTGTATGATATATGTACAATCATAGTCTAACCTCCACTTGTAGATGTCTAAAAAAGTCGTAGTGACTAAGTTAAATTATATTGGTTGTTAGAGTACATAATTATTGCCACAAATTAAAAATGTGACTAAGTTCAATTATATTGGTTGTTATAGTACATGATTGTTGCCACAAATTAAAAGTCTTTAGACCTATTACATAATAATCTGCATTGTAGCACATATAGCAACATTCGGTTAGGAGCATATTTGGATACAACATGACTCAACTAATAAGACGAGTACTCCATAGTAGATCCGTCGTACCCAAACCTGGCATGGTGTACGAAATCATACTAGTTGTGTACCTACTACTACTTCATTTAGAGAATTATTCATCGTTGTAGGAACTCAAATAAATTCAAATATATCTGCTACTTTACAAATAATACCTTTGTAATGTATATATATACTCATAAACTCAGTATTAATACTTGAGTACTTTATTCACGTAACTACATACATTATCTTTTGTCTTGTTTCATTTTTCACATACTCATATACACATATTACATACTCCAGATACACATACTTATGCCCGCACTTCCCGTTCATGTACCACGGTGCAATTAATTTATAAACAAGTTTCAAAGCAGCTTTGGATCTTGTTGTTGTATATTTACATGATACACTTTCGAAGTGACGATGATATGACCAGATACCTTGCTAGGCATAAGCTATTCGATTTCAAATCCAACTGATTGAAGTGAAACATATAAATCCTTAATCTTGGATAATGATGACAATGATTGTGGTTGCCCTTCTCGATATATCCTTCAATTGTCTTCGAACACAACAATACAAAATTAAGATTCATTTTATCTTAAATTAGATGAAGTCCTTCAAAAAAACTTTTATACACTACAAACCTGAGAAAGATCAACAACTATTATAATGTAGACAAAAAAAATATACAAGCAAAACAACCAAAACCATGTTTTCCAGATAAGAAAAGTAACAAAAAGTAGAATATGACCGATTATTGTAGAATTTCTTCAAAAATGGATATGGATATCAAGTCAAATGAAAACCAGACAAACATCAATAAAGGATCTGGATGAAACTCCACTAATCAAACCTACATACATACATAAATAGAGTCAATGTTCGTTAGCCTTCAAATATCTCAACTCCATATATTTTAAACAGAATTTCAAATATTTCAACTCCATATATCCCAAATATTACCAAACTAAATAATTAAGTAAATAAAACGATAAAATAGAATAGAGATAACTTGCAGATTCATTTTGTCTATAGCCAACAACACTTTATCAAAATGTTCCAAAGGAAAAGAAAACATTTTGTCCAACCAAATCTGATTTTGTAACAACTACTAAACTTAAGAACAAATCCAACTCAATTTGAATTTTATCAACATAAAAAGCATAACATCATCCCAAATCATTTTCACCTCAAAAATATCAAATCAAAGTCTGATTACATTTACAAAAACGAAACACAAACAAAAAAATCATCAGCTGAAATACGCACCACACAGAATCAGAAAATAAAACTGCACCTCTTTGTAACCACTTTGCACGGCGATTCTTAACCAATCGCAACATTGCAATCAACAAGAACGATAAAGTGCGACTACAAACATCAATTATATGAAAAATTCCAGCGAAGTCAGTAAACTTCATAGATTAGGGATATGGTGTGCAATAAATAGAAGCAACTAAAAATTAGGGGTGTTGTGAATTTATACCCGGATTGATGGATTCTTCGAATTAAACCTCGTAAACAAATATACAAATTAAATTAACGGAAGAAAAATTTGAATAAACCCAAATAATGACACCAGACTGAAGTTGAAATTAAACCAAAATATTAATACTAAAACATAATTAAAAACACTGGATCATTGTAATTAATAGTGTAGAAATCATGGAAATTAAATTAAGCAAACATCACTCAATTTTTTAAAGCTAAAAACAAGTAATCTGGAATCAAAGAAACCAAACAAACAAAACCTAAAATTATATTGAGAAATCAATTCAACTCTCATGTTTGTGCATTGATATTGCCCAGCCGATATCAACTTTCGATTCTTCCCGGTTCGGTTCTAACTTTTCGACGATACTCAAAAGATAAAAATCCCAATCGACGAACCCTTCAGTTGATTTAATCATCTATTTCAACCAAGACAAGGGGAATGAGAACACATTCACAGCGCCATGAATTGCAGAGGCTTCAGGGAGAGAATCACTGAACCTATAAACTCTTCGTTGATCTTCGCTGGACGGAGGACAACCAGAGTGATGACGGAAGATATAAAGAGAGAAATAAGACTTTGAGAGCGTTGTACGCTTTCCGAACGGACAATAGTGTTGATTTTGCGATCTTCAGTAACTGCTTGCCAATTTTTTTTTGTGCCGATTTTGCGCGAAAAATAATGGAAGATTTAGGAAGATGAAAAGGAAATTGAGATGAGGAAGTGAGAAAGAGGTGAAATGGAAAAGAAGAGAGTGCAGTGTAAGAAATTAATAACGGGGACTGATCTTAAATGAATTTGTGGACTTAGGAACTTATCTCCAATTGTCCGTATAAATAAACATAATGTATTTAGATAAAAAATTAGGTATACTGTTTTTTTAGTCCCGCAATTGGACTCCCTTATCATTTTAGTCTCGTAAGTGGAACATGTCGCAAAATAGTCCAGTAAGTGAAAATTTTTCGCTATTTTAGTCCTCCGGCGCTGGAGACGCCCGCGTGGCTCGCTGAAGGCCACGTGTCCGTCAGGTCAGCGACACCTGGCGGACACGTAGATTTTATTTTTTATTTTAATTTCATTTTTTGATTTTTTTTATTGGGTCCAATTGGACCAAATAGAAAATATGGTATTTGCTATTTGGTCCAATTGGACCAGATTAAAAAAAAAAGAACTAAAAATTACATTCTAACTTTAATCATATCCACACTAAAATTCATAGACGAACTCTCAACCACAGACGAACCCTAAACCAGAGAAATATCCAAGCTTTAGTTCTCGTCGTCGTCCACCCATCTCCTTCGATTCCTCTCTTCGAGCGGCGTCTCTTCGCCGGAACCTAAAAATCCCGATTCCAAACCAATACATTCGAAGGCCCCATTTCATTGCCTTTGTTGATTCCTTGCCTTGAAAGTCGCTGGAATTGATTCATCATTGTTTCGTCGTCGGCGAAATCATTCGCCATGTCTATTTCTCCTTCGCGTAAGTATCTTTGTTTAGGCTTGATTTTGTTTTGTTCTAATCCTAATTTTTAGTAGCGGATAATGATAGGTTTAGGGTTTCTATTAAAACTTTTCGAGCTATGATTTCGTAGTTTAGTGTATCGCAATGTTTATTGTCGAAATCGTTCAATATTATTTCTAAAAAATCAAAACTTTCCAGTTGTGATTTGGTGAGAAGTATGCGTTATCAGTTATTTCTTTTTTTTTTTATTTCTCTATTGATTCATCACTATTTCTCTCTTGTTATTTATTTCTAATCCAGCCGGAGAAGGAGACGCTAGTGATCCCCCATCCGCAATAGTCTCTCTAAATCTGTATTACGGTGGTAAAATCTTTCAAACTCCGTCTCAGAAATATGTTGGTGGATTTATGAGAACTTTTAAGGGTATTATGGCTAGTTCAGTGAACAAAGCAATATTGCAATTGTATGCCAGTATGTGTGGTTTTCAGAATGAGTTAGAGAATTCATTTTTTATTTATAAAGATAGAGCTTTTAAATGTATTGTAGATGACGTGTATATTGCCCAATATGTGAGGGATACACTTGAGCTAGGGCTGTGTGAGAATCTATGCTTTTTTCTTGAAAAAAATTCAATGGATAATGCTTTGGATCAGCAGTCTGAGACTGATAGTGAATATGTGGGTGGGAGTGAGAGTTCTAGTGATGGTGACTTAGTATTTTCGGAGTATGTTGACTGAATTGATGAGCTGGAGGGACATGTAGGAAGTTGTGATAAGGTTGGAAGGATCAGTCAAACTGTGGATTGTGAAAGATGTACTCCCAACTTGAATATTGATGATTGTGAGAACTTTTCCTCGAAAATGGATTTGCGTTACAGCAATAGTGAAGGTGAGGAAACTAGTGGAAAAAAAGAAGGAAATGGGGAGCCGATCTGTGATAATTTAAATGCAAGTGCAATGGATTTTGAGGAGGATGAGTTGCTGGGTTTCGATGAAAAGTTTGAGGAATTGTTGGATTCGGATGAGGAGCTCTGTCCAAGGGAAAAATTTACAAATTTCTGAAAGGTTGATTTGTTTTCTCCGCAATTTGAGTTAGGAATGTGTTTCAATAGTAGGAGTGAGTTTAAAGAAGCTGTGAACTCTTATGTTGTGGTGACTAAAAGACCAATTAAATTTTCAAAGTGTGATAAGTTGAGATGTTATGCTCTCTGTAGGGATAACAAGTGCAAGTGGAGGATTAATGCACGGGTTATGAACAATGAAAGGGCATTTCAGGTAAGTTTATATCATAATGAGCATACATGTGAGGAGAAATTTAGTGTGGCAAACATGAAGACGCAATGGTTAAGCAAGAAGTATGGTAAGCTATTCAAGTCTGATCCAAAGAGGAACATGAAAGCATTCCGGGTGGATATCGTGAACGAGTTGAAAGTTAATGTTTCGAAGGATATGGCCTACAGAGCTAAGAAAAAGACTTTCAAGGAGTCAGAGGGGGATCCAATACATCAGTACAGTCGGTTGTGGGATTATGCACACGCACTTAAGCAATCCAATCCCGGATCCACAGTTGTGTTGGGGGTTGAAAGAGACGGGGAAGAATCAGTTTTTGATAGATTTTATATTTGTTTTGATGCTTTGCAAAGGGGTTTCCGGGTAGGATGTAGGCCATTCATTGAATTTGATGGATGTCATGTGAGGACATCATATGGTGGCGTCATTCTTTCAGCTGTTGGAGTCGATCCCAACAATTGTATCTTTCCTATCGCTTATGCAGTAGTGTCCATTGAGAATACGGAGACGTGGTCTTGGTTCTTGTCTCTTTTGAAGAGAGATTTGGATATAAGAGTTAACAATGAGGTGTGTTTCATTTCTGACAAGCAAAAGGGACTGGTTCATGCTTTGGAGGGGAAGTTTCTGGGGATAGAACACAGAAGTTGTGTGCGACATCTTCATAGTATTTTCATGACAGCTGGTTTAAAAGGTTTGGCATTGAAAAATGCTTTATGGAAAGCTGGCAGGGCTCCTATAGTTGGAGAATTCAGATCTGCTATGCTTGAGATTAAACAACTTGATGAGAAAGCATGAGAGTGGTTGGATAGTAAGCCGTCCAATGAGTGGATCCGGTCATATTTTACGTGTACGCCAAAGTGTAACTTATTAGTTAACAATCTATGCGAGAGCTTTAATAGATGTATCAGTGATGCACGCGATAAACACATTCTCAGTATGTTGGAGGGCATTCGCGAATACTTGATGCAACGACTTCAAAAAAATAGGGATCATGCTAGGAGGAGGTGGAATGATATGGCGATATGCCCACGAATAATGAAAGTGTTGCGAAGGAATAGAGCGGGGGTTGGGGATTGTATTCCCATAAAAGAAGATGACACACGTTATCAGATTAGCTGTTTCGATGGATCACAACACTGTGTTGATCTTTTAGCTCGTATGTGCTCATGTAGAATGTGGCAATTGAGTGACATTCCTTGCCATCATGAGATTTTGGCAATTGGGAACCAAGACGAGGACGTGGTAAGCTATATGGAGCAGTTTTATTCGGTTGAGACCTATAACACGGTATATACATTTTCAATTAAAGCAGTCAGCTCTGAAAAATTTTGGGAGTCAACAGACTTAGTTCCACCGAAGCCACCGCCGGTTAAGAAAGGGGTGGGAAGACCGAAGAAGTTGCGAAAGAGGGAGCTCGATGAGGCTAGAAAAAAAGTTATGACCAAGGATGGTACAAGAAGGCTAAAAAGGGTTCGAAAGTCCATTGCCTGTGGGAATTGTGGTGGTGTTGGACACAACTCACTTCATTGTCCTCAAAAGGAACCGCTCGATAAGATTTCTCAGGTACGCCTACCCAACAACAATCTTCATCTATTTTTTGATCCAATATTAGTACAATTATGTAGTTACAGTATTATTTTCATGATATATTGACAGACCGCAGCTCCAGCACGTCGAGGTAGAAGAAAGCCACGTGCAACCTCTATTCCCCCGAGGCGAAGTGTAAGCATTTGTTACAGTCACTTGATTGTTTTACATGGATTATGAAGGACTAATTTATTGAATTTTGACATGTAGTTGCGATTGAAAACTAACAGTGAGACTTTACAATAAGATGCAGTTTCATTGGAGGTCACCATGTCTGCAGTAGGAGACATTCCAACACAGACATTACAGTCTATACCAACCGCCAACAGTTTGCTACAGGTTAATGGGTTGTCTAGTAACCAGATTTTTTATTTTATTGTTTAAATCCAACATCATTTGTTTTCATATGTTTGTATGTTCACAGGATGTCCCATGTCCGCTTCCACTTCCACCAAGACGAGGGCAACGCCATTGGGAAAAGAATGGTATAAATTCTGATCAGGTTGATGTTCGGATCCCCCAAGTATATTGACTTTTAATAAATGTTAGTTTTTCATGCACCACTATTGCAAATAGTTTGTTATGCTTCTTTTATCATGCACCACAGCAAGAGCAACGTGAAGAGATACCATTGCCACTTTAGCCTCAACGAAGGCGTGAACAACAACAACAAAAGGGTAAGGGAAAATTAGATGAACTGCCACCTGCATCATCTAATCTGGGGGGGTGATGTTGTTGTGCAGGTACATAGTATTAAAAAGTACATCCCTTAAAAGTTACATTCCTTACGCGTATCATATTTATGGTGTTTAATATTTGTATGTCAGAGAACTCCCCAACATGGACCTACAATGTTCGAGCAGTGCAACATTTGAACAAAGAAGCTGCCGACACAGGTCATACTCCCCCTATCCGAGATGCCAACTGGTGTTCGGGCTATGGAAATTAAACGGCTCATCGAAGAAGCGGAGAAATATATTAAGGATTTACCCCCACGAGGACGAGGGCGTTCATGAAAAAAATGATATAATATTTGCTTTTGATATCTTTTGTGTTTCGGCTTCATGTTCCTGGATTATGGTATTATGGGGGGGTATGTATTTGTTAGATTGTTTTTGCTTTTGGGGTGAATTATGGTACTTATGTGCCTGGTGATTCCAGTGTTTTTGTTTTTGCCTTTATGCTCATAAATCCTTCCGGTGTTATGTATTTGTTATTGTTGAAGGTGCTCATTTCATAATGTAGTTAGGCGAATTATGGAAATGGTTATGTAGTGGTAAACATCCGACACATTTCGGCATGTGTTTTAGAAATACATGCATTACTATCAAATATGTATGATTAAGAAACAACAACACAAACGTTACATTAATGCTTACTACTATATTGAATTACAATTTTTTTCAAAAAAAAGTTTTAAATGTGATGCTATCTCCATTATCAAGTTGTGAGTGTGCTGTAATAATAAGCATTGTTATGCAATCGCTGAGATTTGTATAATTCTGCACACATCATTATCAACCCCAAACTATTTCCTACAACAAAATCTCACCAATCGAAATGACCTGACACAAATTCAAGCCTTAAAAACTACAAATTGAAATACATACGTTAAATACTTACTTAGAAATCAGCGTACATTACCAAACATCCCACGCCATCACAATTCATCAAGCCTTACAAACTACAAATTGCAACACGTAATTTAAATACTTAATTAGAAATCAACCTACATTACCGAACATCATATGTCATAAAAATTCATCAAGCCAACATAAACTTCTCTCTTACATCACCACAGTTCTACAAACCAACATACACTTTAAAAATCATCCACACAGAATTAATGTTATGCAAGATAGGGCAACAACCTTCTTCCTCACCCTTTCATTGTGAAGCTTCAATGTTGTGATTTCATTTTCCTTCTTGTTTAGTTTCTTCAACAATCCGGGGATGACAGCTTTGGCCCGTGCACACATTGGAGGGTCCTCCCAAGAAAAATATCCGCAACTTGCTTTAACACCTCGCTTAAACAACAAATGCCACATCAAAATTCATTTGCATCCAACAACACTCTAATATGAACTATAAACATATATCTATGAAAACCGCATACTCACTCAAAATTTGGCGCAAGAATTAATTCTTCGACTTGGATTTTCGTTAGTCCATAAAGTCCGAATAACACTCTTTTGCCCACAATGACATTCGATGCAAGCATTCGTAGTTGAAGACGATGACATTATGCCCAAATACAAAACCTATAAATAAAAAAAATTGAATTGATTTTAATGACCAAAATTCCCGCAACCCTACTGAAAAAATTAAAAAAATCGAAAATGACAAAGAAAGAAAAAGAAATCGGCCAACATACCTGCTCGGCTGGGCTCCTTCGGCCACGACAATAAACTGACCTACGTGTTCTTTAGGGTGAAAAGTCGACAGCGAAAAGTAAGGGTGATGAATCGCGTGAGAAAGAAAAGGGTTAAAATGTCTTCAATCGTGGGTTCTTTCTTTTTTAATTTGGTCCAATTGGACCAAATAGCAAATTAAAATTAAAAATAATAAAAAATAAATAAAATCCACGTGTCCGCCAGACCTGACGGACACGTGGCCTCCAGCGAGCCACGCGGGCGTCTTTGGCGCCAGAGGACTAAAATAGCGAAATATTTTCCACTTATGGGACTAGTTTGTGACAGGCTCTACTTACAGGACTAAAATGATAAGAGAGTCCAATTACGGGACTAAAAAAACAGTTTACCCAAAAAATTATTATAATTACGTAATAAGAATTATAAAACTTAAAAAAAAAACACCTCCTAAATACCCCTCAAAATCATACTATCATAATGAAATTTATTCTAAATTTTATTTAAAAATTGTATTATATTGTGTTAAGATAAAAGATTGTAAAAAAATTTAGATTGTGTTCTTTTGTGAATTTTACCATAGATTTTTACTATTTAGATTTTTTTTTCCTCAAAAAATATCATGTCAAACAATTATTTTTCCTTTTTTATATTATACTATAAATTTCCTTTATATTCAAAATATCACATCAAATCTATTTATATCACATCAAATAACTATTTAAATTCAACTTTTTACTATTCAAAAATCCAAACCCAAAAACTAAAACCCACAAACAATCACACCCTTAGAATTTTGTTTAAACAAGAGTATTTGAAATCTTTTTGTTTATATTTGAAATTTAGAGGGTGTATTCAATTGAGATTTTAATGTATTTTTTTGGATTTTAAAAAGTTTATGGATTTATGTGAATTTATAAAATCCACGAGTACGCTGAGTTTGATGAATTTTAATAATTGAATTAGATGGATTTCTACAAATTTTATTGAATTCTTTATGAATTTATATGGATTTTGTAGGATTGTAAAATAATATTTTTATGAATATATATTAATTATATAAATTTATATCCAACACAAATTTTATAAATATAATATATAATTATAATAAAATAAAATAAAATATTAATAAATAATATATAATTATTAATAATGTAAAAATATTGTAACATCTGTAACACTACTATATTGTAAATTATTAATTTTAATTTTATAATTTTAATATTATATTATCATTCAACATATCAAATTAGTTTTATATTTATTTATTATTATTATTATTATTATTATTATCATTATTATTATTATTATTTTATTTATATAATTTTTTTACATAAAAAATAAATACGTATATAAATAAAATAAAAAATATAATTTAAGAGTTTTGAAAATTATATTAAAATAAATAAATAAATAAATAAAAATTAACAATTCAATAAAAAATATATATTTAAATATCTATTTTACAGTCAGCGGAATGATAATATAATATATTCGATAATTGAAAAATGAGAATTACACTGAAATGACAATATATTATACTCGATAATTGAAAAGAAAAGACGACAATAATAAATATTTATTATGATAATAATATTTTTCATAATAATTTGCTAATATATTAATGACAATATATTATATTAGATAATAGAAAAGAAAAGAAGACAATAATAAATATTTATTATGATAATAATATTTTTTTAAAATATATTAAAAAATCATAATAATTTACTAATATATTTTAATTTTAAATTATTATTTTTATTAAAAATTATAATAATATTAATAAATAATATTATATTATTTATCACACGAACAACAACAACAACATCACCACCAATAATAATAATAATAATAATAATAATAATTTTAATAATTCATCAAAATCTCTGCTAGGAGAGATTCTATTCTATACAAATTTTCATAATTTTCTATTAAAATTCATAGACTTTCAAAATCTATGGATGATCGAATATCTACTTTTAAAAGCCTTGATTGAATACACTCAAATTGAATACACCCCTTTACTTTTCTAATCTGAATTTGAATTCAAATAATATTTTAATATAATAATTTAAAATAAAAAATGGGTCTCGATAACAAATCAAACAAACTCTTAAGTACTATCCCGTCCAAATAAGTAGTCTATTATCTTCTTTTATTGTTTAAATTTATATATTAATAAATAATTTTATTTACATATAATTTTATTATTATTAAATTCGAATAATTTTTCATTTTTTTTACTTATTCCACTTTCCTTTTTTAGAATTTAGGATTTATTAATAAATTTCTCATAATACTTCTATTATTCTATATATACATTTTTATATTAAAATATCATTATTTTTTTCTGTTTTATTAATATGATTATTCAAATATAATGTATATTTTTACAAAAATTACCATTCAATTCAAAATACTATAATTTTATATTATTAATACAATTATTTATATTAATAGTGTTCTTTTGTGAATTCCTCACAAAATTTTTAGTATTTATTTAATTTTTATTTATTGAAAAGATATTAATTTAAATAATTAATTTTTAATTTTTATATTACATTTAAAATATTGTATATTTAAATCAATTTACATCGCATCAAATAAATATTTAAATTTAAATTTTTATTATTTAAAAAGTTCAAATCCATAATCTAAATCCACAGTAAAGACATCCATCCTTTAAGGATTGTACAAGTATTCTACTATTCATTAATTTTTATTTAAAAAAATTTAAATTAAATATTTATTTTTTATTTTTATATTATATTAAAAATCAAATTTACATGCAAAATATAATATTTATTTATATCATATTATGCAATTATTTAGATTAAAAATTTTGATTATTTAAAACTTAAATAAAAAATTTAAACTTTCACTATTTTTTGGTGCGCAACACCAAAATTGGCCGTTGCTTTTATTTTTTTTAATTTTAACTTTTAATTTTTTCTTATTTTTTATTTTTCTATGTTTAAAAAAAATTATTATAAATTATAAATATAAAAAATTATTTAAAATAATAAAAAAAATTGAATATTTGAAAATAATAAAATCACAATTAAAATAAAAATACTGTAACAACTGTATATTTGAAATTATAACGGTATAAAAATAGATTTTATAGGTCGGAGATAATCTAAAATTTTTTAAAAGTATTCAAAAGTTAAAAAATTTCAAGAAATTTTAGAGAATAAAATTTGCGATTTTTGGCCTTTAATCAGCTCTGTAGTCTGTATGGTCTAGTAATGGATGCGGATCATCCAACATTGATTGAACGGATGAGCAAAGGGATCGAACCCTAAATCTTCTCGTTTCTGAAAAAGATAACAACATTCTATTAAACTCTTTCTTTCTTGTTAAGCCCTCTCTGTGCATCTGTCGCCATTCTCGCCCGCCCCCAAACCCAGCACACAACCCTTGCTTCGATTTATGGTCGTTCTCGTCCATTCCCAACCCTTTGGAACACACACATATTGATGAGATCTCCTCCCGTTAGAAAAACCAGCCGGGACGAGACGACGATTCTCTGGTTGCGCCCGCCCACCAACCAAATTCCAACCGTCGCTGCACCGCACCCAACTTTTTAAGTGCGCTACATTCTTCGATTTGTCTGGTGCTCCTCTCTTGTTCGTATTTCTGACAAAGATTTTGATAATTAGCTACCAAATTGACTGCGGTTGCTGCTAATTGATTCTGGGAAGGGAAGAAGAAATCCATGTGGCTTCGACGAACCAAATCAGGGGTTCGGATCCACAACGCTTATCCCCCAAAATTTGGCTGCACATCCTTCAAGGACGTCCACAGTCTCATCGACGACGGCGGCGGATCGCCGAAGAAGCAGCCGGCCATTTGTCACCGCACCCGCAGCGTCAAGTCCTTTCTGCGCACCCTTTCCAAATCCACATTTCCGGAAAATGTGGCGGAGGAGCCAGAGGCAGAGCCCGAGCCCGAGCCCGACCCGGACATCCGTATCCCCGGCGCGGAGAAGCTCGTGGTGTTGTACTTCACGAGCCTGCGGATCGTCCGCCGTACATTCGAGGATTGCAAGACCGTACGGTCAATCCTGTCGGCTTTCCGCGTGCCGATCGACGAGCGGGATCTGTCGATGGATTCGGGGTTCATCGACGAGCTGCAGAGGATCCTGGGGCTGTCAAAGCGGTCCAAATTGACGCTCCCTAGGGTCTTCATCGGCGGCAGATACATCGGTGGGGTGGAGGACGTCCGGCGGCTCCACGAGAGCGGCGAATTGAAGAAGTATGTGGAAGGGCTACCGGTGGCGGAGCCCGGCACGTGCGAGGCATGCGGTGGGTACAGATTCCTTCTCTGCGTGGAGTGCAGCGGAAGCCACAAGTGCTACAGCGAGAAAGCAGGGTTCAACAGTTGTACCTTGTGCAATGAGAATGGTCTCATCAGGTGCCCTTCTTGTTCCTCATCCTCTGCCTCGGCGCCGCCTCTCTGAGCCAATTTCATTCACAAGAACTGAACTAAACTAAACTGAACTAATCTTCCTTTTTGACACGCCCTGAACAAAACAAAACAAAATTTTAGTTTGTTGCTGAGAAAATTTTAGTGTGGAATGCAAAAGGCACCGATGGAGGCTTTTAGTGTTTTTAGAGTGTGAGAGAATATTATTGTTTTTATGCTTTTGTTTTGCCTTTTTCTTTTTGCCTGCCTCTCTATGTTCTTGGGGATAGTCGGCTTAGTTTTGTGTTTGTGTTGAGATTTATATAGGGTTTTTTTTGTATGTATTCTTCTTCATTCTGGTAGTAGCAAAGTTAATAAGAAAAAGAGGAGTTTGGATGATGCAGGAGCATCATCTTTGATCTTGAAATGTTGAGGTTCTTGTATTTGTTTTGTGTATACTAACAAATGTTTGTTTCCAAGTTTCTGAGATTGAAACAAGTAAGATGATGTGATGTGGGACTGGGTTAAGATCTGAAAATGGAATTGGATGGAAGATGAAAGAAGAAGATGGATGGATTGGGTGGATGTTGGAACCATGGAAGGACTGATACTTTTTGTAGTTGAGTGAAGTTGGAGGATGGCAACATATCCCAATCCATTGTTGATTTGAACGTTAAAAGATTATCATCTATCTGTCTATCTATCTATCCATCCAAGGGACAAACTGGAAGAAGACTACTTTTGTTGAGTGAGAAAACTTGATGGAAGATTTGTTGTTGAGTTTGAGATCCTCAGGTACATATATACTTTGTGTTTGTGTTTTATATAGTGCTTCAGCCTGTTCTGTTTGTTGTTGAAATACAATCTGTTGCTGCTGCTATGGCTATATATATATATATATATATGTTGTTTGTGGCACAACAGCCGTTCATCTTATTGTTTGTATTCTTCTGATTGTTGGAGAAACTACAATCACTTAGCCATCTCCAACCCAGGGCCATAGGCATAATTGGCATGGGATGTCTCCAATCACTAAATCTATTATTTTTCTCTACTCTATGTTCATCCCTTCATCGCTTTATACCATTTATATTATATAATATTTATTTTTATTATTTTAAAATCAAAGAATTTAAAAATTATTTTGTTTTAAAATTTTAAAAATTTAAGAAATATAAAATAAAATTTATGTAATTAAACTTTTTTTTTATCAATTTTAATTATTTTAATAAATTTTAAAAATTTAAAAATATTGTATAAAATATATAACTATTATATTTTACTCTCTCCATCCTTTTTTTTTTCTTTTTGTCCGTCTCATCAAAGATGATCTTAATTTATTAATCTTAAACATAATTAACAAATATAACTTAATTTAACTAAATTTTGAACTTATTTATTTATATCATATAAAATTTTATTATCCTATTGCATATATTTTATTAAATATTATTTATTTTAATTATTTTAATTTAATTTAAATAACTGAGGAAATATTATTTATTTTAATTTAATTTTTTAAATTAAAAACGGACATGGGATATAAATCCCCAATTTTACGAAATCATTTAGGATCGATTCCTAATTTTAAAAAAACTGCATTGCTTTTCTTAACTCCTCACAAATGGGTTGTTAATTTCGCGGGAAATTGAAAGCGGAATCCACTTACCTAGGATCCGGTGTATGCGAAATTGCAACCGGCGCTCGCCCAAATTCCGGTGAACACGAAGATACATCTCTCCCCGTTTGTTACGCCCAAAGGTTAGAAGGTTTCTCTTGACTTCTTGTAAATATATTGTGTGTTGTGAATGGACACCAAATCTCAACCGTGATGCATTTTTCATTCTTTTTCCCTATCTCCCATTTGGAACGCATTATGTAAATTGTAGTGAGGTAATGTCTTATGCACTTAGCATGTTCGATAAAATGTCTAAAAAATATCCGTATTAGTGTAAAAGAATTTAGTTAATCTTTGTTCAAAGTATTAGGTTATAATATTCTTTTTCAAGCATATGTGGGATTTCGATTTACCGGCTATATCCACAATATTGTGATCAATAGTTACTGCACATGCAGTTACAATACACTGAAAAATAAAGAAGCAAAAATCCTGCCTAGCATAAAGTTGTGCAAATTGCACGACTTGATTTTGCTGCTATAGTTAAGAACTATTTTTTTTTTTTTTTTTGTATATTCCTCTAATAGGTTCTTTGTTTGTGTATATATCGGTATTGTTTTTCATTATGTGTAAATTTCATATATCAATAGAACATAAATGGACAGGAGTAGGATCAATCAAATCGTTAAAACCAACCCTTGTCTATATAGATTGTGTGTGAGACAAGTTAGACAGAAAATTATAGTAAGACAAAATATTCAAACACTCTAAAATTTTGTAGTCTCAAACTTCATGGTTTGAAGATGTCTTACAACTTCCAGACTAGCCAAAAATCGATCTCAAGAAGAAACCACAGATATGATCTAATAGCTTGTTAAATATAGGAGAAAGTAGTAGTGTTGGATGTTTGTTGGTGTGTCATATCCTTGTAAAATTGGTGATTGGTTGTGGTGGATGATTTGTGGATTGATATCCTCAAAATAGGTTTTAAGAACCAAACTGATCAACAAACTCATCATGTCATTTATTCTTTGATGCATTTGCATTCATTATATTGACTATGTGATGCTATTACTATGAACTTACCATGTGTTAATAGTACATTTTTTTTTTTTTTTAATTTTTAATTTTTCACTTGTAGTTCATAACTCTGTTACATATTACTTAGACGGTTTGTGTGGATTCGGACGTGCATTTTCCAGTATTACCTAAACTACTTTTTATACTTGTTTTTTCAAGGTAAATTATTTTTTGAGTTCCATAACTGAGGTTGTCTTAAAATAGTACCGTATGTGAAATTTTTTTACACATTTAGTCCTCCGGTATCGGAAAAGCCTGCGTGGCACCCGCCGGCACGCCAGAGGACACATGTCCGCCAAGTAAGCGCCACTTGACGGACACGTGAATAATTATTTTTTATGTTTTTAACATGTGGATAATCGATTTTCTATTTTAACTTGATACATTTAAATTATAAAATAATAAAATAATTATCCACATGTCCGTCAGGTGGCGCCTACCTGGCGGACACGTGTCCTCCGGCGTGCGATGTGAGTGCCATGCACATCTTCGGTGCCGAATGACTAAATATCCGAAAATTTTTCACTTACTGAATTATTTTAAGATAGTCTCCGGTTATAAAACTAAATGATAAATGAATTATGTTACGAGACTAAAATAATATTTTTTCATGCCAACTCCAATGAGTGATAATTTTATCGGATTTAACCAATTCCATATAAAAAATTACAAGAAAAATGGATATAAACCATATTTGCACAAATTTAATCCATTTTATATACTATAGATATTAAAAATTAAATGCCTAAATTAAATTAAATATATGTATTTTGGAAGAAAATAAAGTTCCAATAAAATAAATATATGATATTTAATTATGCACATATGTTAATTTTTGTACAAAAAATATCAACCATTAATGCAAAAATCTGCTTAAAATGGAAGATATCGTACAAATATTGCGTGCATAAATAGAGACATAATAAATTTGGAATCAAAATAAATTAATTTTGTCAATAAAGGAAATATATATTAATATCTTCTGAAAAAGACAATAATATAAAGATCTTGGCGAGAAAGGAAGACTTGCAATCAAATCCTTCGGAAATGGAAAACAACATCGGATGGAAAAGGAAAGATTATAAAATCATCTTGTTGGCCAATCAGGACGCGCCACGTGGCACCATTAAAAAAGGAAGTCGAGGCCACCCTTCCCCTATAAATAAGAGCCATGATAAGTTCATTTGACACACCGAAGTTACATCGAGGATTCAAGCAAAGGGGTAAGTCTCTAGACTCCCTTTGTATTGTTCTTTATGTTCTTCGTGTCCTTCGAAGCGTTCTTCGTCGAAAGTCACTGATTTGGACAAATGATCCAATATTGGTTGATGAATCGATGAAGTTAACGTTCTTCATTGTATGCCCAAGCCGGAGGAATGATCAAAGCTTTCAAAGCCGTTGAGGAATTCGTCAGAGCCAAAGGAAGGTCTTCAAAGTTCATCCCAAAGCTTTGAGGTGTTCATCGCGTTATTCACCAAAGCATCAAATCGGTCCTCTTCGATCTAAAAGTCAAAGGGACACACCACCAAAAGTATTATAGAGCACCAAATCCACCTCTTCAAGGATCAAAATTCCAAAAGCCGTTGAAGAATCCATCAAAGCCAAGGAAGAGCATCCAAAGTTCATCCCAAAGCTTCAAGGTGTTCATCGCGTTCTTCACTAAAGCATCAACCAGACCTTCTTCGATCCAAAAGTCAAAGGGACACGCCGCCAAAAGTGTTATGGAGCACCAAATCCACATCTTCAAGGATTAAAGCTCCAAAAGCCGTTGAAGAATCCATCAAAGCCAAGGAAGAACATCCAAAGTTCATCTCAAAGCTTTGAGGTGTTCATCGCGTTCTTCACCAAAGCATCAACCAGGCCCTCTTTGATCCAAAAGTCAAAGAGACATGCCATTAAAAGTGTTATGGAGCACCAAATCTACCTCCTCAAAGATCAAAGCTGCGGATCGTCCAAAGAAGACCCCAAATTGAACGTCGACGGTCAAATCGTCCACACGGAGACCGAAGCTCTCCAAAAGGCGGAAAAGGCAAGCCAAAGATCAAAGCCGTAGATCGTCTAAAGAAAACATTAAATCCAAAGCCGACGATCAAATCGCCCATACGAAGACCGAAGCTCTTCAAAAGGCGGAAAAGACAAACCAAAGATCAAAGCCACAGATCGTCCAAAGAAGACATCAAATCCAAAATTGAGGATCAAATCGCCCGCATGGAGACCAAAGCCCTCCAAAAGGCGGCAATGACAAAACAAAGATCAAAGCCTCGGATCGTCTAAAGAAAATATCAAATCTAAAGCCGATGATCGAATCGCCTACACGGAGACTAAAGCCCTCCAAAAGACGGCAAAGCCAAATCAAAGATTAAAGCCGCGGATCGTCTAAAGAAGACATCAAATCCAAAGCTAATGATCAAATTGCCTACACGGAGATCAAAGCTCTCCAAAAGACGGCAAATCCAAATCAAAGATCAAAGCCTCGGATCGCCCAAAGAGGATATCAAATCCAAAACCGACGATCAAATCGCCCGCATGGAGACCAAAGCTCTCCAAAGTCCAGCAAAGTCAAACCAAAGATCAAATCTCTTCGGATCAAAGAAGCCATCGAAAACCAAGTTGGAAAACAAATCGACCCGGAAAGAGAATCAAAGGACCTATTTAGAGAATATGACCCGCTTTAAATCCAAATTAAATATAATTTGTACAAATTTTGTGTTATTAAAAATTACACAATTTTTTGTCTACAAATTTTTGGCACGCCTAGTGGGACCTCTCTACCTTTTATCTCTCTTTCCGACGAACTCTCAACAACCAATGGCTTTCTATAAGATCAAGATGTCCAACGTTGCGTCGAAAGCTGCTGTCCGAGCTGCCGCCGCCAAAGGAGTCGTTGTATCCACCGCATCAAAAAACTCAAGCGCTTCAACAAATGCTGGAATGACAACAAAAAGTATGACCAAAAGAGCATTGTCGTTCTTTGAAGACACTCCTCCAAAAATCACAGAGCAACGTCCATTCTATAAAAAGATGATAACTTCAAGAAAACTCCCGCATCGTTCACTCCTCAACAAACTGCAAGTCATTCAACCGCATCAAGCTTTATTTCGGTGATGACTACCAACGCTTCAAATATTGATGACCCAAAGACCGCGGATCAAAGTCTGCTCTACAAAAAAGTTCAATGCTTCAAAGACACTTTCATGCCACCTACTCATCGACAAATTTCAAGTCATTCAACCACATCAAGCTCTGCTATGGTGATGACTATCAATGCTTCAAATATAGAAGACCAATTTGCAGCATTGGCCAAAATCGTTGAAGGGATGTCTCAACACATGCAAAAACAAGATGCCCTCATCGAAAAACTTCTCACAAAGCTAGACAAGCTTGAAGAGTCCAGTCATGCTATCAAAAAACAACCATTTTCCCCAGCGGCCCAAAATAAAGTGGCAACATCTGTGAAGCAACGTCATGACAAAGAAAAGGTGACAGAATCAAATTCATTTCAAGGATCATCCAACTTCTTCATGCATATATCCTAACTTGACAAATACATCAAAGGGGCAATCAAAAGAGAATTTGAAGGGAGTTCAAGGCCGACATACACTTACGCTAAGCTTTACACTGCAAGGATTGACGCCCTTAAAATGCCAACGGGCTATCAACCACCAACGTTTCAACAATTTGACGGCAAAGGCAACCCAAAGCAATATATAGTGCACTTTGTCGAGATATGCAACGATGCTGGAACATATGGAGACCTCTTAGTCAAACAATTTGTGCGGTCACTAAAGGACAACACCTTCGACTGGTACATCGACTTAGAGGCTGGTTCCATCAACAATTGGGAACAACTAAAGTACGAGTTCTTCAATCGGTTCTACAACACACAGAGAACCGTCAGCATGACCGAACTCACCAACAACCGCCAATGGAAAAATGAGCCAGTAATTGACTACATCAACCGCTGGAGAAGTCTAAGCCTCAACTGCAAAGACCGTCTGTCCGAGGCTTCCGACATAGAAATGTGCATTCAAGGAATGCAATGGGACTTGAAATACATCCTACA